GGGCTTAGAGGACGTTCGTGACTTCCTCCAGCGGGAACTCACGGCTGGGAGGTTCGAGCCGACCTTTTCTTTCCCTTAGGGCTGTTGCTGCTGGCTCGCTTTGTCAAGCAATAGTGTTTCGATGGTATTGGTTCGTACGATAGATCGATCTTATGGAGATGCAGCAGCCTAACAGCAGCCGGAGTCGCAGCAACACCGAAGCTTTCGAGTGCGAAAAAGAAGTCGACCAGACCCAAATCAGCAAGCGCATGCTCGTGTGAAATCACCTACACAAACCGACTCCGTGAGAACAGCGTGAAACCAGCGTGAAAACCCCGTGATATGTAGGCGAAAAACCGTGATATGCAGGCGAAACACCGTGAGAATTTATCAGTGTAATCCCGCCAAAAAAACCCTATGTGTTCAGTTGCAGTTCCATGGGTCACCGCCGTGCGATGTGAATCCTCTGTGACGATGATTGATGGCTCCAGTTCTACTTGTCGAGAGACCTACGTTGCTTGGGTGTTCCCTTGCGACTGAGTCGGTCAGCGATGGTGGTGGATATCAGCTATGTGCTGCTGAGAGCTCAAGACAGAAAGCGGAGAGCCCAAGCAGCCGGAGATACCACGAGCGTGGCCGAAGGGACAAGTGGGTGGGAACCTTTTTGTGCATTGCTGTCGTGCTTCGTACACTCGTACACATCATCCAGTCGGCTTGCAAGTGTATCTGTGTGATTGCATGAATGTAATACAGAGATAAACCCAGGTCTCCAAAGGAGCCAAAGAAAGCTCGGACCAGCCCGCCACCGTCTTCCAAAGATGCCTCAAAGGACTCCAAGCCAAAAGCCAAGAGCCCCGCTGGGACAACAAGTAGCTCGGGCAAAAAAACAAAACACAACGACAGCAGCACGCCAACTGGAACAGGCAAGACAGCATGGCAAGCCAGCAAGACAAAGCCCGTCAATCGCAGCCTTTCCTTTGCAGATTCCTTGGTTGAGACCCCACCCCACCGAATCAATCCGAAGGCTTCAGCTGAGGACCTCAGTGGGGAGAAGCCGAGTGCACCGTCTGTGCTCAAGCGGGCGCAGACTGTTGATGGCACGGGTACAAGTGTTCGGAAAGCTGAAGCTCTGCGGAGGCAGAAAGAGCTCGAAGAAGAGTTAGAAGAAGAGCGGTTGCGACAGGCAGGAGAGGCCCAAGAATTGAAAGACAAGGAGCCTGAGTGTGCCACGGACCTGGATGTTAGTTTGAAGAAGACCAAAGGAAAGTCCCCGAAAGCTAAGGCAAAGCCTAAAGCAGCATCGAAAGCCGCTGCCAAGGCCGCAACAAAAGCAGCAGCAAAAACTAAACCAAAAGCCAAAGCAAAAAGCAAAGCAACAGCCGCTGATCAGCATGACTCAGCAAGCGAGGCCGACAGCACTACCAGGAAGAACCATGCCACAGCCCGCAGCTCTAAGGACGCAGCTCCTCCGCAGAGCCCCGATCGAAGCGCCAAGCAGAGCCCGAAGAAGACCCCCAGCCCGAAGAAGCCCAGTACGGAAACAGCCGAAAGCCCGCAAGACCCCGTGGACCCCGCGAAAGCCGAGCTGATGAAAAGCAAGAAGAAGGTTGCACACAAGCTTTACATGAGGTTCTGGAGGTCGATTCAAAGCTGCTGCCTGAGACACGAATAACGACACAACTTGTGTGTTTGTGCATGTGCTCGAAATTATGACTAATATGTTTGTCAATATACAAACATACGAAGGCCGAGAGACCCCAAGGGAGATCAAGAATGCATTCGACAGGTTCAAGTACTGCTTTGGACTCAGCATATTATGTGCATCATGCGGTTCATGCTGTTCTTCCTAGTTTGTGTGCCTTTGACATGAGTTGTAGCCCTCGCTGGCCTAGGCAAAACTTCCATGAGCACGCTGTACGAGGACTTCGTGGCAACCGGAGGAAAGTGGAAGAATGGTGTCATCATGAAAACGATACGGTCCAAGAAAAGCAGCGGTGCACGTGCATGCAGAAAGTGGTTGACCCGCAAGCAGATGCTGCAGTACTTTGACAACGACAAAGACCTGGTGGAGAAGATTATTGTCCGCAAAGAGAGCGACCCGGAGCTTCTCAAGGCTGAGTGCCGCGATCACCCGGAATGCCCAGGCTGGAACGAATAGCATGCAATGTGTTTTTTGCAATCATTCTAGGATGCTGTGTTTCCTTGCCTACATGCCGAGAAGGTTTGAGGCAATACCTGGTCCTCGTGGAGGACGAAGAGATGGCGGCCGAGTCTGTCGAAATCGAAGATTTGTTCCAAGCGGAAGACGACTCCGCTTCCAGCTCGGATGAAAGCTCAGAGTCGGATGACTCGTCGTCGTCCGAGGACGGAAACTTGTTTATGATATAGTGTCGCAACTCAAGTAGCCTTCAGTTGGAAACCGTGTAGGACTCCGGAAAGAAGAAGAAGAAGAAGTCGAAGAGGAGCAGCAAGAAGTCCAGCAAGGACAAGAAATCCAAAAAGAACAAGAAGGACAAGCGAAAAAGCAAAAAGAAGGCCAAGGGCAAGAGGAAGGGAAAAGGGAAGAACAAGGGCGAAGATGACGAAGAGAAGGAGGCAGCACGAAAGATCGGATTGGAAGCTAAGAAGGTTGGGATTTCGTCTCGAATCGATGCAGTTGCTGTGTTGCATGTCAGCTATGAAACTTTTTCAAACAAGCCCAGGTGCTGAACTTGCTGAGCAGCAAGATCAAAGCTTTGAACCGCCGGAAGGATTCTGAGGATCTGCTGAAGCTGTCCTGCCCTGAGACCGCCGTGTTGATTGATTTGAAAGTTGGTGATGCTGGATATTATATTTGTTCACTCGTTGCGAAAGTTACTGCAGGAGTGACAACCTCAAGGAGGCCCTGACAAAGGACTTAGAGCAGTCGGCCAAGAAGCTGATGAATGCCCGGACAAAGTTGCAGCAAGCAGTGGATGCCGATAAGGACATGTATCGATTGCTACGTTTCATGGCAGAAGTTTACATTCTTCGTTTTGGTGGTTCCTACATGTTCATTGCAGGAGGACATGATTTCGGAGAAGACGCTCCACGCCAAGACCGCCTTGGATGAAGCTGAGCACACGCTTCATTTGAAGAAGCCTAAGGGCCCTAAGGATGACAAGAGCGCGAGCAAGTGAGACAAGTAGATGGGATCATGCAGCTGGACCTTTGGATCTGATTGAAGCTCCTGAAATCTAGAACAGAAAGATGTAAAGTTCTGGGTTCATATTCAATGGTTCCTTTTGGGATGACTGCAGATCCGGTTCACGCATGCAGGGGTTATGAGGGTGTTCAACAAAAGGTTGTAACACCGCAGAGTGCTCGAGTGTCTGCTCTCGATGCGAGGAACCTGCTGGGTAGCACATTAGGTGCACCGCACAGACGAGGGGGGAACTCGTTCGTGCACTAGTCGCTCTTGGTGTGAGCTGGCGGGCTGCCTGATGCGCAAAATGTCAGTGAGTCTGCTGCTTGGTGCAAGATGCCGCTAAGTCTTGGAAACAATAAAATAATTTGGTGACCAAGTGCATGCAAGAACCCGTTGTCGCAGGTGCAAATGAGATACAGCATTCTGAACTGTTTGATGAAATGATTGACAATGTGGCTGCAGCTGTTGCTTGTCTGCAAAGTAATTACAAGTCAGTTTCCGAGTATTCCAATTCCGTTTGATTAAAGTCCTTCTCGTGAACCCATGTTAACAATCAGGCCTCAACGATCGGAAAAGAGATGCGAACTGCCAAAGGGGCCCTCCAAGCGCCTTGGATGCTTCAGTGCATGAGTTCGTGGCAGATGATGTCGGATTTGTGCCAGTGTCAATCAACACCTGGGTTTCAATACTCAATCTGAGGATGGTAGAGATTCGGTGCCGGCTTCGATTCGGAAGCTTGGTTCCTACAGTGGCCAAAACAATGCCCGAGACTTTGCAACCGCCGTGCGACTCCCTGTGGTCGGTGTTGCGAAAGAGTGAGGTAGGAAACCAGCTGTAGTTGTCACTTCGGGATATTACGGGTCATTCCGGTATGATTTCAATTGGTCCTTGATTCGATTTGTCTGAAGCGCCCTGGCAGACTCCTGTGATGGTTGAAACCGTCATCAAAAAGAAGGAAGATTCCTTGGACGAGGTGACTGTGTCTATTCCTGTGCTACTGCCTCATTTGATTTTGACTTACATTTTCAATACTGTGGGTGTGCATATCAAACCTGATGTTCTGAAGCGCTACTGGGCCCACTGCAAGAGAGTCTATGAATGGGCTGCCCCAGATGAGTTGGATGGATCGCACATCCCTTTGAGTATTTACGGGGACTCTGCGAGATACGGGCAGGGATACGACCAGAGCAAGGTGACGGGATGTTGGATGGGCTTAGTGCTGTGGAGACCCAAGAGCACAAGAATGAGCCAATGGCTGCTGTGGACTTTGAAGGCTGATTTGAGCCTGGGACCCAAATCCCACAATCCTCTTTATCTTGCTGTGGTTCAATCATTGAACTATGCTTTCAATGGTATCTCCCCGGAGGGGAGGCAATTGCCACACAAGTTCCTTGTCACGGAAATAAAGGGTGATTGGGAGTACATGCAACAAACCTTCAGTTTAACCCGCTGGTGGAAATGTCGGTTTATTTGCTGGCGATGCTTGGCAGAGAACCACGAGAATGCAGAGCATTCCTATTTGGATTTATCAGACGACCCTTCCTGGTCAACCACTGAGTTGTCGCATAATGAGTTTATGCTGGATGTTGTCGGCACTGAACGGATATGCTGCTTGGTAAAACATGGAAGCGAATAAGGTAGAGCTAGTATCATCGTTTCTTGCTCTTGGTTTAGGCCCACTCGTTGGCCTGAAGCTGTTCCACATGACGATGCTGTGCCACTGCTCCCTTCACAACGTGAATTTGGGCATCTGCCAGGATGCTACGGGTTCTACGCTGTTGCTTGTTAGCACAATCGTGCTGTTCAGTTCCGATTTCGTTTGATGTTTATTTAGAAACAACCCGACGAGCAAAGGATGTACTTGATCGGAAACGGCTATTTCGGATGCTACGAGACCACGACCCTACACAAGCTGCTTGTGGTGGCATTCAAGGATTTCAAAAGCTTCCAACGGTCTACTGGCATTCGCTGCTCGCAGACGAAATTCGTTCCGAATTTTGAACCTTGTCCAAAGTATGACCCCAGACGGTTGATTGATTTGTAGAGGCATGTAATTTGCGGTGTTGTTTGGCCAAGGTATGGAAGGAAAAGAAAGGGGCCATCATGGCCCATAAAGGGTACAACGGAAGAGTGATAGCATTCTGGCTGGCAGACTGCATGCAACGAGCTGTCAACCGGACGGTTGTGGAGGATCGACACTTCGGGCAGTGGTTGCAGCAAGCTGGAAATTGGCCTCCGGAAGACGATTTGCTGGCACCGACCGCTGTGGCCATGCGCCTTCTCTGAATTGAAACGTAAGCAGTTCAGTTTCGAGTGGAACACACATGTGTTCAGAACCTGTGCAGGCAATCATTGTGCGAATGGTTCCATCAAGTTGAAAGCCATGGCAGGTACCTGCTGCTTGGCTTCTTAAAAGCCCTCAATGCACTTTGTTCCGGGTATGTGTGAAGTTTGGGTCGCGACAGCTCAGGAGTGAGCAAGGCGCCAAGAAAATCTACGATGCCGGAATGAGATATATCCGCTATCATGTTTTGTTATGCAAACTTTCGATGAGGAGTGATGTGAGTTGTGTCTGAGGAAACTTATTGTAGTTTCGAGTCTGACACGAGAGGAGAATGAAGCTCGCATGGCAAGTGCGACCAAAGATCCACGAGCCTCGTCTAAATCTGTTGGGCATATTCTAGCTAAGTCTTGTTGTCTGAAAGTTCAAGCTTGGTCACCAAGAAATTTCATCACCAACTCCGAGATTGCAAACGGCGAAGCAACTGGCTGCAAAAAGCTGTTTGGTAGCACTTAGTTTGTTCGTGTTTGGTTTTCGGTGCCATCCTAGGACTCAACACTCGCTTCTTCCACACGTTCAGAGAGGAAGATGCAATGAAATGGTTGAAACGTTTCTCGTCTCGAATAAAGTCCGTCTGGGTGAGGTCTGTTTCGCCGCGCCCGTGCGCATATGAAGACTCAGGTGCAGCGATGAAAGCCGACAGCCGGCATTTCGAGCGGAGTATCATCAACTTGGCTCGCTACCGATTAGTTTCGATGAATCGTTTAAAGCGAGTGCAGATGCTCAACCGAAGCGCGTTCGCCCGGGAAAACAAACGACGAGGAGGTTTGTGTGTCGTGCCGAGTGCTTGAGCTTTGATCTTCATGCCCAGTGAAACACCTACGTTAAGTTTAGTAGTAACGAATCCAAGAAGTAAGCGTTAAACCGCAACGTTCGACAAGTAGGGTATATATATATATATATATAGATATCCAGCTGGGTGATCAGGATTTTGGGGTTGAGGGGCGGTGGCAAGGGAAATCTCAAGCCAGGTAAGCTCTAGCGCCAAAACTTTGGCATACACCCCATCATACTACAAAAAAGAAACAACGAATGCAGTACCCTTTCAGGAGCCTCTAAACCCACATAAAACCAATTCTCCATAGAACCCCACTAAACCCTGGAAATGCCCTCATCAAGCAATGTAAAAACCCTACAAAACCCTACCAACCTCCTGCAAAAACCTTTGTAACAAGCCCGCAAGCCTTCCTAAACCCTAGACCCTCAAAACCCTTGAGACAACCCTGTAGACATAACTCCATACTATGACATAAAGCAAGATCCTCACTACCAGGATATGTTGGTATGTGTGCATACAAGATGCACGTATAATCATCATCATAGGGAACAATAAGGCAAAAGCACTAACACTACATAACACTACTAATGATCGTCATAGCAACAATTGTAACAGAAATGATAAACATGGCAATGCCACTACTGATAGTAATAAGAAGAAGCCTCTAAAGCAGAATCAAAGTGGGAGTTTCCGAAAATAGGGGACCCTAATATAGGACCCAAATAGTAGGATCCTTATTATAAGGATCCCAAAATAAGGTACCCCCTCTTTTCGGAAACTCCCAAATTGCACCCAAGCGACCGACTCCGAATCCAGGGAGCTCGTGGCTGAGGAGGTCTCGACGATGCTCCGGGCGCTGTGGTAGCCATGCCCTCAGTCGCTTGCTTACGCTTTAAAGGGAACTCCAGAAAGTTGGAATATGATTATCCTAACCCTTCTATGGTAAATTATAGGGTATCCTACCATGAAACCATATTCCAACTTTCTGGAGTTCCCTTTAGGGCTTCAGCTTTAGGGCTGTTTAGGGCTGTTAGGGTTTAGGGCTATTTCGGTTTAGGGTTGATAGGTTTTAATGTTTAGCGCTGCTAGGGTTTAGGGCTCCGAAGGTCTATACTGAACTTGGAACCCTAGCAAAAAATCTAATTTTAGGTGCTTCTTAGGGAGAATCATAACCAAAAAAAATATTTCGAAGTACCCCTAAGAGGTCTCTGGCTTGGAATTTAGGGCTTGGGGTTGATAGGTTTTGGGCTTTAAGGTTTAGGGTTGAGGGTTTAGGGCTGATAGGGTTTAGGGCTCTTAGGGATTAGGGGTTTAGGGTTTAGAGTTCTTAGGGATTAATGGTTTAGGACGAGGTGGGCTTAGGGCCCTCGGTCTTTGTTGGGGTTTCGACAGTCAGACTCGCACAGGCAGGCACGGATCCAGGATTCAGGGCCTTCGGTTTCGTTTAGGGTTTGGGTGTTTTAGGGTTTCGGGACATGGGTCTTTTCTAAGGTGCAGGATTGTGTAGGGCTTATGGGATTAAGGTTTAGGGCACTTTGGGTTTTTGGTGCTTTAATGTGTGCGAGGCCTTTACCCCACACCCTAAGCCGTGTAGGTGCAACATACCACCCCTTTTAGATTATGCGATGTGTGTTGCCGGCTCCAGCAAAGAGGGGTGCATGGTTCGGGATAGAACCACCATCAACGCAGTTCTTAGGCATGCTAACTGTACGAATCCAAAAGCAAACGGGTATAGCTTTTACCGTTTGCGTTTTAGGAGGTTCAGGGTTTTGCGTTTGAGGCTCAACTTCTTTCCTGCACCTTAGTCGAAATATTACAGGGGTACATAACAGGGCTCTATAGGAATATTCAAAGGTACATGCTGCATTGCCAAGGGTTTGAACATATGCAAACATAAGACCCTTAACCCGTAACACCCTTCATTGAACAGTCTTCAAGCCTGAACATACTGTATCTACTACACACTCACCAAAAACCTAAACCCGAAGCCCTACCTCATGTCATCAAAGCATTAAGGTCGTTCCAGGCTACCAGCTCTAAACCAAACCATCCCAAAGCCCTAAGCCCGAAGGCAAGTGCCCCTAAGCGATCGAAACGGCAGTGCCAAGAGTCTCATCTCCGCCCCGTGATTGATGAGGGTGCACTCCTTGAAGGGCTTGTGGCTTGCGGCTCTAGCTTTAACACGCTCGTGTGAACACTACTGCTATTCCTGTAAGGCGTCCCTTACTGCAACTGTAAAACAATATTAGCCACAAGCCCGAGCCGAATCTGCAGGTTTAAACCCTACACCCACAAGCCGTTTTCCTAAACAATTGCGCAGACCCTAACCCCTAAACCATAACAGCGTGCAGCAGATTGTGAGGTGTGAACCGAGCATGTCCATGTCCTCCGGCCGCAGCAAGCAACACGGTTTAGGGTTTAGGGATATATAACCCAGAGGATTGACCTATATCCCATCGCACCCGTAGCCAGCACATTCTCGAGAAACCCTCACCCATAAAGTGGGTAATGTAGTGGTAGTGCTGGCGCCTTGGGGTACTGTATTCGTGTGATAGGTGCTCTGAGGGGGTAAGGAACCTAAGAAATCATGTTGGTAATTCGTTGCTACTCAAAGCCTAACATTGAACCATAAGATCCTGTAGGCTAAATACACTGCATGTCCAGAAGACACAAGACAAGAAGCTAAGCCATGATGGCGACGGACGCGCTTCGCCTGCGGCAGCGGGATCGGCATGAAAGTGAGATTCTGGAAACTGACGCCCTGCGCTTGGAAGATCGATGTGTTCATGGAGTACTGTTCTCCCTCTTCGGACCACTATGTTGCATGGATGTCTTCACACACGTTGGAAGCAACTCTTCCTGCTAAGCCGTCACAAGTTATACCTTGAACTTGGGGCTTGAGGGTTCGAGGTGCTTTTGATGCGTTTCTCATGAATCCTGAACCCCACCCTTCTCAGGGGTTGACTGGCTTCGGCTACTGCCGGTCCAGCCTTGCCCCGGCGAAGAGTCCGTGATGGCGGGGACGGAGTGCGGTTGGGCCTCCTGACTTCTGTTGCTACCCAGAGGCCCCAAAGTAGTTCCTTTTTGGGATTACCGAATAGAATTCTATGTATGAACCCCAAAAAGGAATTACTTTGGGGCCTCTAGGTAAGCCCACTTGATGAGGATGGGGCTTAAACCGTCGCAGCTCGGGCATTAATTTCTGTCCTTAGTTTCTGCCAACTAAATACTTAGATGAACTAAGCAGGTCCCTAATATTAGTTTTTTGGGGCGGTTCCGACTGCACATTCATACCCGCAATCCATTTTCGAAACACATTAAACAGTTTCCATGCCTACGCCTTTGCTGTCTTCGCTTAATTCTTTTCACCAGCGAAGCAGGTGGTGCTCTCGCCATTCGTCAACGCCTTCAGTGCATGTGGTGGTTTCCGAAAGTAGGGGACCCTAATATAGTACCTAAATAGTAGGATCCTTATTAATTATAAGGACTCCTAAAGAAGGTACCCCTAATATTCGGAAACTCCCATGTGCTTTGGGCCGCCAGATCAGTCTCGACCTTTTTCAGCGCAGAGGGGGCCTTTGCCTTTTCCCGCCGGGTGTCAGCTCGGGATTCGACTGGAACCCCAGAGACTCCAATATCCCTTAATTAGGGAATATACCTCAAATTTTTTTCAGGGATCCTACCATAATTTAAGGAATACTCCCTAATTAAGGGATATTGGAGTCTCTGGGGCGTCTTGCGCCGTCACCTGGTGCCCCCTTGATCGCTGTGGATTCTTGAAGCTTGTAGCATTTGAGCCGCAGGTAAATTCTTAAGGAGAGGGTTTCCGACTCGTCAGGGCTTTGCATGATAAAATGCCCAGAGATCGTTTGCTAGTTATTGATGAACGAAGCACAGGTTATGCAGCACATGACTGTGGGCACTTTGAGGACAAGGGAAGCATGTGCTGCAAGCATGCCCCACCACTGTCGACGTCGCTCTACAAGAGACACCTTAAGTGTGCCATGTAAGCATGAAGCCGAAACTCATAAAAACAGTGCAGGTGTAAGGTTTACCGGACTTGTTGACGTTGAAGTTGCGGTATTCTCAAGGGGAAGTGTTACGCAAACACGGAAGGGCATTAGATCTAATATAGGGGTCTTGATCCATTGGATTGGGCTTGGGGGTATACTAATGCTATGACGATATGATAAGGGGAGTAGTGGTATGTATATAGTTAATTAGGCCCCTGTTTTATAGGGCTCCGAAAAGTGTAATCCTGCATTTAAGCACGACACTATGTAGTTACACAAAACTCCAGATCCCTTCTCCGCATTGACACGGTCTTGAGTGAAATGAGCCTCCAGCAATACTTGCCGCTGGGTTCGGAACACCACGCCTTGACTTCGCTTGTGACTACGCTTCAAGACTTCAGGATGCGTTTCAGGCTATGTTCCGGTGGCTGAAATCTCATCAATAGATGGAAAAGAGCTTTGGCCAAGTCGAGCATTCCAGTCTTCAACTTGAGGCAGTGATGCAACAGCACTATGACGAGCCGTGGCCTATCAATCCCCTGAGCAAGTCTTTCAATACATGTTAAGTTGCACTGAGCACTTACATTTTCTGGAAGCTACATACACACCTTTTGAGCTTGCATCTTTGTGATGCATGTGTCGATATTTCGTTTCTGCACACCCAAGTTCTGTAGATTGTACATGTAACATGGCTAGCTCAGTACAGTGGGGTGTGTTCCATGTTCCTATTGGCTTCGGCAAGCAGTGCAACAGGCTGTGCGTGGATTCTTGTACTGTGCTGCATGATCCTTGATGTATGACAAGCTCGGTGACGTAGCTCACCACGGGTGTTGAAGAAAAAGCTGGTACAAACGCACTGATCATGCAGACTGTGCATTTCACGGAGGGCTTGCGTGTTGTGCGGAAACATGTGATAGGAACCAAACGCAACAAAAGCCTGCGTTGCCTAACTAGACACAACTGCATGCTCAACTCATGTCCACCTGTGCACAAATATCAATATTCCTCGGCACCCTAAGGCGATAAACTATATACCAAATAAGTCCGCACCCGTATTGTATAGTCTCCTTGGTCAAGTTCTGGTGGATAACAGTATGGTTAGGAACCTATCGTAGACAACAATGAAACCAACAACAGCAGCTATGAAAGCTGCACTGACAATTAAGGCAGGAGGTTAGAGTCTCTGATGCCATACTCCCAAGCCTGGACCATACCCTCCGCCCCCTCATACCTTTTTCGAAAAATGACTCTTTTTCCATCATGATAAGCTGAGAGGGCCCCTAAACCCCAAACCGAAACCGTTTAGGGTCCCTATAAACCCTAATCCCGGTTTCACGAGGGTTTAGCGGTGTAGGGTTAGGGGTTTAGGGCTTTGGGTTCTTCAACAAATACAGGTATACTCTAAAGTATCTCAAGACCCTGTTCCGGTTATGTTATCCTACGAGGTATCTCCAAACCCTATTCTAGTCATTAACGCTCCTGTAACATGGGTTTCTCAGTTTGCGGGGCATCAGGGCCGAGGGAAATGTGGCAGCTGGAGCGGGTTCAAGGCAGGGTTCAGGGTTTAGAGCATGTATGGGCAGCTGTTTAACAGTGTGGGCTCCCGGAACTTGAATCTACTTACGATGTTTCACTCCAGAAGTTCCTCTAGGAACTAGCCGAGTCCGAGGTTGCATGTCGGCAAATCTCACTGAGCTTGACCGCCGCGCGAGCCAGCTGAGTCTCCGTGAGCTGAATCTCCAAACGACGCTTGACGTGCTCGGTAATTTTGTCGACACTGATATACTGCACTGTGCGGCCCATGTGTTCCACGAACAAGCGCCCCGACTCCTTCCATTTGGCCACGTCAGTCGGACCTTCCTCCTTGCCCCAGCTGACGAGAGTTGTCTCCAAGATAATCAGATAGTTCGCGATGGACGTGCGAACCTCAGGGGGCAACGAGTCCAGGTTCAAAATATCTGCACCGTCTGCAGCTGCGGATGACTCCATCGGAAAGGTGCAGTGAACTGCTCGACTAAACCGTCGACCCTAAGCCTAAACCCTAAACCCGAAACCGTCGACCCTAAGCCTAAACCCTAGACCCTAAACCGTCGACCCTAAGCCTAAACCCTAAACCCTAAACCGTCGACCCTAAGCCTAAACCCTAAACCCTAAACCGTCGACCCTAAGCCTAAACCCTAAACCCTAAACCGTCGACCCTAAGCCTAAACCCTAAACCCTAAACCGTCGACCCTAAACCCTAAACCCTAAACCCTAAACCGTCGACCCTAAGCCTAAACCCTAAACCCTAAACCGTCGACCCTAAGCCTAAACCCTAAACCCTAAACCGTCGACCCTAAGCCTAAACCCTAAACCCTAAACCGTCGACCCTAAGCCTAAACCCTAAACCCCAAACCGTCGACCCTAAGCCTAAACCCTAAACCCGAAACCCAAACTCTTGAGCCTGCAAGGCCTCTTCTCCGAAGACTTGTTATCCTCACGCACAGAACCGATAGGAACCACCAGCAAAACGCACCTACGCGTACACTTCGTAAGAGGGTATACCCTACTAGGTTGGCCCCTTAAAGCCTCTGAAAGATATTCGTAAACAGGGTCCTACTAAACCCAATAAGGGAAAATATAAAATGTCCCAAAAGCCTACCTAGCCTAATGTCCCCAAGAAGGGCTATCGGTTTCAATCGTGAAAAGTAAAGTATATCGTACATAGTACAGAACAGTATAGTATAGAATATCGTGGTCAAGGGCTACATTGCCAAACTATAGAGCAAGTTACAGTAGATTATACTACATTAATACGCTTCTCAGTCTGGTTCTTAGTAGGGTGGGGAAATGGAGCATGGGGACTATTACTGGGTTTATATAGGGACTACTACTACTACTACAACTACTACTACAACAACAACTACTACTACTACTACTACTACTACTACTACTACTGCTACAACTACAACAACAACAACAACTACTACTACTACTACTACTACTACTACTAGTACTACTGCTACAACTACTACTACTACTACTACTACTACTACTACTACTACTACTACTACTACTACTAGTACTAGTACTAGTACTAGTACTAGTACTACTACTACTACTACTACTACTACTACTACTACTACTACTACTACTACTACTACTACTACTACTACTACTACTCCATTCCCCATTAAGCACCAGACACTTACGTGCTTCTCTTGGGTCTCTAAACCGCAGGTCCTGTGATCCTCGAGCGCCTTGGGGCTGAGCGCGGCAGATGAGCTGCGGCGCGTCTGCCAGGGTGTTTGGAGGGGGAAAGCTTCTGGGCTGGGGGTACAAACCTAAACCTATATATATATATATGTATATATATATATATTATATATATATATTATATATATATATACTATATATATATATATATATATTATATACACACATCAAATTCTACAAATAAACAAACACATAGTTTCTATATACAGCTATTTGTTTATAAACTCAGTATATGTATATATAAACAGATATATACAAGTAAGTATGTATGCATTGTATGTATGCAAGTATTTATGAACGTGATATTTTCTATCAAACAAGGCCCTGCGGCCCTGAGTCGTGGGGACCTCGGAAAGGCCCGAAAAGGGGACCGTGTTTAATTACTTCGAGCGCAGAGTGCTGAAAGTCGTTGGCCCCGAAGCCCAAAACAAGAGGGTCTTTTGCTCCGATTGATGTCTGCCCATCTGGGCGAACATACGACCTAGGGCGAAAGCTCAAGGTTTAGGAAGTTTAGGATTTACATAGGGTTTAGCATCAAACCCGCACCAGAAAGCCTGTGTTTGGCTGAGGCACGATCCACTTCTTCATGTTCTTGCTGAGGTTCCGCTCAGCACGGAAGTGGAGGGTCTTTGCGCTCCTGCACGCACAGATGCCATGGCAAGGAGAGGTTTGACGGCTCATGGGGATACCAGTTGCACTCGGGTGTAATATGAGGCCTTATATCTAGGACCGCAGATGCAAGTTGGAAGGAAACGTGAGCTTCCCAAACATCATAACAAAACAGCAAACAAACTAAACACTGCACCCTAAACATGAAATGGGACGCACATTTGGGGTTCGGGTCTCGAAGAATGCACGAGCAAGGCAGGAATGACCCTCCTGCTGACGTGGTTTACGGCTTCGGGCTTGTAAAGCTAAGCGTTTCAGACTTAGGGACTTTAGGGTTTCGGGTTGTACTGTTGATGATATAAATCCTGCATGACCCTAAATAAGGAATATACCATAATTCCCATAGTTTAGGGCCCTTAAGGTAATGCAGGATTTATATCATCAACCGTAGTGTTATGGTTCAGGGTTTAGGGGTTAACGGGAGGGTTTAAGGTCCAGTGTTTAGGGCTTGCTTAGTGCTTACAGGGTATAGGGGTTGGGCTTCTTTTACTCCGCATAGACTGCAAACCCATCAGCCCCAATGCGGGTTCAGGGTCTACATATAGCCTCCACGGTACTTACTTTTTATGAAGCTACCGTACAGGACCCCAAAATATAGAATTGGCTATTCAGAAAAAGGAGCCAACATGGAGATCATAGGCAGGTTGTAGAGCTTTCGAATCAGGGGTCTAAACCCTAAACCCCAAGCCCTGAAGCCTAAACCCTGAGCCCTGTACGTGAGCCCTAAAGCCTCAACCCTAAACCCTAAACCAAAACCCAAAGCCCTAGAAGCCCTCTAAAGCCCCAAAAAAAACCCTAAGCCCTAAACCCTAATTCCAGGAGCAAAGCTTCCACTGGCCCTTCAGGCCTTAAGCTTGGGGACCTCAGGGCTTTGAGCATGGGAAACTCCAAGCCCGAACCTGCCTAAACACCCAAAACTTAATGTATGTGTGTATATATATATATATACATACATATGTATATACATTTATGTGTATATATATATATATATATTCATGTTTATGTATATGTATGTATGTGTGTATTATGTAAGTATGTATTAGTTCTGTTTGGCCTTCCTTCTCTCTGTATGTATAAATATATGTATACATACATATATATATATATATATATAGTTTGGCTCCCACTTGGCTGGATATATATATATATATGTATGTATGTATGTATGTACGCAATTGTGGATTATGGTTCAGGGTTTGGGGTTTATAGGGTATTCGGCTTACCCCAGACCTGAATCTCGCGAAACCCAGCCTGTCTTCATGTCGCTTTCGCATCATGCGGTGCAGCTTCTGGATGGGTGCCCTGGGATAGTCTGTAGTCTGCCGCTACAACTTCCGGGCAATCTGGCCCAGTTCTGGGATCTAGACCCCAAAGTTTGAAACATGTACACAGCAAACCGAAATTTGAGTGTAGAGGGTCACAGGTTGCTCTCCAAACTTCGGGTACTTATGTACGCAAAACAAGAGACATGCAAGGTTCGGGCAGACTGTCCGACACCAGCACGTTAACCGTCAACTCAGCTGCCTACCGGAGTTCGAAGCCTTCAGGTGTAGGGTTTATGGCCTAGCTGCAGCTTCGCTGTTGAGGAGTCCCTTGCCACTTACCTATAGTCTCCATTGTAGTTCCTTTTACGGGTTACCCTAGGATCCTACTATATAACTGGTTAAACCAAAAAAGGGCCTACAATGGAGATTGGTCCAGAGTGAGGAATTGGAAGTCATGACTTACAACCCTTTTTTGCATCGGGCCTTTACCACCCTAAACCGTAAACGCTGAACCGTACCTAGAGGCTCATACCCTATGCCTGTTTTAAGGTACCAAATATTCTATATCACTGATCCTAACCACAACACTAAGCATCATAGAAAAGGGGGAGGCCCTGAGCTCATAGCCTCATTCTCTGTATTCAGGCCCCGTGTTACATCCTGAAAAGATTAAACCTTCTTGAACGACCTTGTACAAGTACAGCCCCCTGTTGTCACTTTCAAGTTGGTTGCTACCTAAAGGCTCCATAGTAGTTCCTCTTTATGGTTCATATCTTTTAGAATCCGACAAGGGTATCCTGAAAAGGAACTACTATGGAGCCTATGCGTAAGGAGGTGGAAAGCAGCGGCCCTCGCCACTTCGACAAGCACATACATTGGGTACTGCCCCCATACAGTAACAGTCTGAAAATAGGCCTACTATTGAGGTCCTAATATGTCTATATTATGAATATTATCCAACTGTTTCTGAGTGGGGGCAGTACCCAACACATCCACACTTTGTTGTATTTGACTGTTATGTGAGGGTCTGAATTTCGAGGTCTGGTAATCTCCGGGCTCTTCAGACGAGGCAACGAAGCACCAAGCACTGGGCTAGGGTTAAGGCTGACTGCGGTTTCGGGTTCAGGGGTTTGGGGGGTTAAGATTTAGGGTCCTTTTTTTTGGGGTTTAGGGTTTAGGGTTCAGGGCTGAAGGCTTAGCAGACTCCAGATGTCAACAGTTGTTGTTCTGATAACACGTTTCATGATTAGGCTTCCGGAACCAGAGAATCGAGCACGCAATGATGCTAGCTATGATGAATGTAGGTCCACATGCATGTCCGGCGCCTTGGCGCGATGTGCTGTAAGAAGCTTAAGCGACACGAGGCCTGAACCGAGCGCTAGTGTTGCGGATCGTTTGTCTCATTTGTAGGCCTCAAGCAAACAAAACGGTTGCAATCATCCCGGGTTATGTTCAACTATGCAAACAGCTGCCGCACGCACTCGTCGGTACGAAGTGTTTCCGAGCCTCAGGTTCCATTGGCCTAAGCTCAAGATTTCCATATTGTTAAGGTCATGCCTACCCTGAAACCGGAAACAAATACCAAAGGCCGGGTTTATCGGCACAGGCTTGTTGAGAAGTTCGAGACCAAGCAGCCCGAATTACCTACTAGATGTTTGACGAGGCTCTCATTCTCGAGGGAAGGAAGAATTCCCCACGCCTCCTGCTCCTGCCGCGTGTCGCACAGGCTATCACAAAGCCTCGGAAGTCTCTTAATTCTGAAACCCATCAAAACCCTAGAAAAATCTAGATCCCTGAAACCCGGTCATGACTGACTCCACCCTGCATCTCTGCAAACCCTCCCTTGACCCTGCAGACCCTGTGGGTCACGTACAGAACGAGCTCTATAGAGCTCAGATCTCTCAAGGTTCATACCCGAAAGCCTAACCCTAAATGCCGGCCTCCAAAAACCCGACACCCTAGGCCCTAGGCCATAAGCCGGAACGCAGCTCAAACCGGACTCCCATAACATCCAACTCTGCCATGCCCCACATTTCCGAGTGTAACCACCCTTAAAGGTTTGGGGTGTTCGTTGGGCTTTGAAGTAACCAGTGAGAAAACATATAGACGTTTATCTCATCATGGGTCCCTGTAGGTACCAGGTCCCAGAAAAAAGTATTCAAGTATGGTACTCCAAGTAATGCTTAGGGCGTCGGACTCTCAGAGAAGCTTGCCATGCCTGGATTTTGGCGCTGAAGAATTGCCTCAGACGCCAGCTGCACGCACTTTTCCAACCTTGTGAAACCCCACAGAACACTCCCCAAAGGCTCCATAGTAGTTCCTTTTTGGGATCCCATAAAACCTCACATGACATTATAAAAGTCAAACTCCAAAAGGGTCCGGTCAAGGTTAGGACGCTTAGGCCGTTTAGGGTTCATAGTCGTTATTTGAGTGTATATCCTCACGGGTTCGTGAGTCTCCAAACTGTCAAAACCAGACTCCGGATTCCTGGATCTCCCGAGCTGCCGCCCACTGTGGCCGGTTACACACAACGTCCGTGAAGAGAAATCTGTCAAACTCCCATGTTGCTCCTATCTTGGGCTGGCCAAGAAGCTTCTGCAAGCTCTTCATAGCTGCGCGGAAGGATGAGTTGGTGATCCTGAAGAAGCACAGACTGGGGTTTACCTGTCGATGAGTAAACCTTAATTAGTGGATGTCGGTGCTTATTGCATGGTTGATATTTTGAAACAACGAGAAGAGAGCTACTCGCCAGGATCCCAGGGGAATTACTATATTTTCGGCTAAAAGTTCAACATTGGAACTGTAGGGGGGGTTGCAGTACCCCCATCAAGTTAAAGCTTACCCACTCCACTACAATACAAGGCAGGGAGGGCGGGAGGGAGGGAGGGAGAGGGAGGGAGGAGGGAGAGGGAGAGACGGAGGGAGAGCGGCCGGGAGAGAGAGGGAGAGAGAGAGAGAGAGCGAGACAAAGAAAGAAGGGCAGGGTCCTTTTGAAGAAAGAAAGCTCCATGGACTTGCTGAATCGCATGCTTGCTCTGGGTATATCTATGTACGGCTTGCGCAGGGTTTGAGCATACAAAGGCACTTCTCGGGTCAGTTCGGGGTACTGAATGTAGCAAGGAGGGCTGAGAAGCAACATCCCGACTTCGGGTATATAACCCCCGCGTACTGGAAGGGTGCAAAGCACCCCTTTTACGGTAATTAATCCCTCTCTATACCCCGTACACATAACTCTATAGAGCATGACTGGATTGGGGACTGGTTGACCGATAACTCTTGATGCTTTTGTAAGGCAATCAATCCTTTCGCACTGCAGGCCAGTTCGGACACGCGCGCCAAAAGAGGGACCTAGCTAAGACAAAACATTGCGAACTGCACCCCAATACTTACCCTGGAGCCATGCATCTATTATGAAACTCGTGCAGCAGTCCTGTCAAACACTATACGCATCAACCCTGAACGCTAAACCCAAAAACCCTAAGCACCGGAAGATACACCTGGACTACAAAGCCTGACTAGGGGTTTGAGGTTCACCGCAGTCCCCTAAAAATCGGAACCCTGAGAATCTACATTGTGAAAAACTGAGAAACCCTATTCGTTTGGGGTCTCGGCGCTCGCACTCGGACAATCCAGGCGAGGCATTAAAAGTCTAGGGGTTTAGGGCTTCGTAACCAACACAAAGGGTTTCGTAACCCCCAAACAGCCACCAACAATCTTAACCTTAAGCTAAGTTTATCCTAAACCCTATCCCTAAACCGTAAACCCTTGTCACTAAACCCTCAAACCCTGAACGCTAAAACCCTAAACCCCAAAACCTAAAACCTACACCCGAACCCCCCCCTTAAACCTCCCTCTATGAGCCGAGGGTCGCATCCATGGCTTCGGCCCAGGGCGCGACACTCCTCCAGGGCGTTTCGGAGTTGGTTTACGCTCTCGCAAAGATGTCGGGGTCCAGAAGTACTTGGACTGATGTGTTGCAGCTGACGGCGATTTGGTTTAGGTTTTGTCCTGCTACTTAGCAGGGACGAGGCCTCCATTGCAAGTTAACGGTTGAGGGCCAGGGCACGCATGTGTTGAATCCCTATGATTCCAGGGACATCATTTCTAGGGTCCCAGACACTTTAAAGACCCAGTACAAGTAATAACGTCCCTGGAAGCGTGCGGTCCTTGTCCATTTGTTACTTTGCTGTTGAGGGTCCTTGTTCCATGAGTTTGGCTTGTAGTGGGCGGTTAAGCTTACTAAAGCTTAGCGGATCCCTGAGACAGCAGCCTTTCTATGCTTTCCTCATATATAGTGTTTTTCTTAGGAAGGTAAGATCTCAAAGAGGAGCTGCGTTGGGGTTCAGGGTTTAAAGCTGTTGACTTTTGAAGTCGTAGGGTTCATGCTTAGGCATTTCGCGTTTACGGTCTAAGGGTTGAGTCTTCGCGTTGTGTTGTGAAGGGTTCAGGATTTAGGGTCAATGCTGTCGTTGATTGGGAGTTTGGTTAGGTGTAATATAGAGGGATTAATGCTTTCAATGGGCTTTGAGGTATCTTGCAGTATAGTTAACATACGGAATCCCCCTATAAGGAATACACAATATTCCAAGTATGCAGACCCCTTTATATTTCAGGGCTAATGTCTTGAATATCTTATACTCGATCGAGTGCTTAGTAGAGCTTATTGGCTGAGTGGTTCGGGCTCAGCTTGACAGTTTCAACCTAGATGCTTCAAGCAATCTTGTTGAACAAGGTTTCTCTGACTAAGCATTGACCAGATGTGGCAAGCTAGTGAAAGCTACGCGTCTGACTTCTCCCGGTTGCCCGTCTGGCGATGTCTCGAAACAATCTAAGCCTTGAGCCCTGAACCCCGAAGAAGCAGTTTCGAGATCGGTTGGGTCCACGCTGGCAGGATCTTTATTACACAACGCCACTACGCGGAACACAAAATAGAGTCGAACGCTTTCATGTTTCCGGGCTTAATCTAGATGGTAGTTCAGGGCCTAACTGATCAGAGTATGACTCAACTTGATCCCGTGCTCTACTTATAGTATCCATTGTGCCTCCTTTGAGGATACTCACCGTCTACAAGCCTAAGGATACAAAAGGCTAAACCAAATACTAACTCCAATGGAAGCCCCCAAACCCTAAACATCCCTAAACCCTTCCTTAGACCCCTAACCATAAACCCAGCGCCTGCGTCGTGCTTGCGCCAGGACCGCCTGTCTCAGCCTTGGGTGGGTCAGGGAGCCCCGGACACTCCAACATGGAGAGGCTCTGCTGGGCGTAGATTCCTTTCAAAGAGGGGGTTCTGTAAGGCCAAGGGCTTACGAAAAGGCTCCTAATATAAGGGGCCTGAAACGAACTATGTATTTAGAATTGGGTTTCGGGGTTCGTATATTATAGCAATAGTAGTAGTAGTAGTAAAGAAGCCTCAGGATTTGTATTGCTAATTAGTTACGCAGGCTTCTTGTTTTCACAATTTCTCGGGTAAAGAGATGACGGTTTTTGGGGCGGCCCGAAACATTTCCAAACCACAGCCGTCTAAACAATACTTCACGGAAGCCGCAGAATCGGCCCAGCGAATTGGTGGACATCTCGGAATTCTGACAAACGAAAAGCCGCAGGAGCGCATGAAATTTTACCCGTACCGGTTGAATCCCCTGTGCTCTAGAACCAGCAAAAGGTGCAAGCGCACAAGGAATTACGACATGTGCCTACGGTCTGACCCCCCATTCCCAACACCCTTTGTTGTTGCTCCAACAAAATATTTCCTTGGCTTCCGAAAACTCATCGCCCTAAGCCCAGTTTCGGTTCCTAAAACCGGAGAAACTACTTCCGACACCCCAAAGCCGTGCACTGAAAGCGAAGCCCAACCCAGAACTTACGGTTTTGGGTTTTGGATTTAGCTATCCACAGCTTACCTAGTTCCCTGCAAGCCGGAGGGTCTTGTGGCTGGTCTGGGGATCACGGACTAGAATGACTAGAATGAGACAAGGGCGCTAAGTCCTTATCTAAACTCAAAACCTAAACCCTAAACCCTACCCTAAACCCTAAACGGCCCTACACCGTCAATGAACAAATCTTGAACGAGGGAAAGCCCCCCCCTTGCAAGACGAGTTGCTGAGCTGGTCGGTGAGCTGACTCCTGAAGGAAGCACTTAGAGGATGCTTCCGTAAGGTTCCTTCTCAAAAAACTATACTATCATTGCTAGAATATACTATAATATAATATACTATGATCGCCTAATGTATACTATACTATAATCTACCACAGAGCCCCGGAGCCTTCGCCGGAGTATCGAGGCAGCTATACACCCTCGTAGTAACGAGCCTTTGTAGACCCTTGTCCTTCGCTTTGAGGCCCTATAGTATAGGCGCCTTAATAATTAGAACCGGGTTTTGGGACCCATCGTACTCTTTTGTGTAATAAGGAAACCGCAAAATAGTATAGGAAATTATTGAAGCCCCTTGACTTACCCTCAAAAAATCCTCTAAAGGACTACAAAGATTTGACATGGGGCTTCTTTAAGGGATCCCTTAACGGAAAACCAGCTGCGGCTCCTTGGAGGAAGCTCTCGATGAGTTTTCCCGCACGGCAGACAACTCGTCCGTCAGCACCTTCATTGCGCATTTAGGGCTTTTAGGGTTCCTTTAAAGGGATCTATGGGGCTCCTTATCAGGGATCCTTTAAGGGTTCCGTCAACACCTTCATCTGTCTGGAGCTTGGTGGGGAATGGGGGAATGGAACCGTAGTCCCTATATAATCACCAACAATAGTCCCCATATTGCATTCCCCCATTTCCTACGAAGAACCAGACAGTCATTGAGCATCAGGATTTCTTTGGCTAACCCAAAGGCTCCATGTACCCATATAGTAGATACTTGGGCCACTTGGGCCTTAAAGTACCTATATACGGACCCCTTTAAGGCTTAAGTATCTACTCTAAAGGTACATGGAGCCTTTGGGTTACGGGTCTTGGGTCTTCGCGGTTGAAGGTCAGGGGTTGCAGCCGCAGGAGTTTCGAGTTTAGGTCGGGGTGGTCTCTTACAGGATTTGGTTTTGGGGGTTATGTTTGTTCCTGCTTTATTTAAAGACGTCTATAGCTGCACTATCAGATAACACACCCTAAGGGTCCAAGTACCTAATAATCATATGTGTTCCGAAATAGTAACCTACATATCTACTATCCGAAACCTAAGTACCTTGTTATTAGGTGCTTTGGACTCTTAGTGACAGGGCTCTAAGCATGCGGGTAGGAATCTAGGTTGGCGGATCCAGCCCAAAAGTCCTAAACATGAAGCAAAGACAGGCGCATATATAGGAACCCTGGGCCTTTATTGGGGTTCCTTTAAAGGGGTCTACTATAAGGGTTAGTATAGTAAGGTAGGAACCTGATTAAGGGACCTTGGGCTTTACTGGGGTTCCTTATATGAACCCTACTATTTGGGGGCTCTAGGCCCAGGATTTCTTAATCAGGTTCCTACATTGTGACGGATAAGCTTCAGTTACCCAGGTCACCCAGAAAAGACGATGGAACTTGCCTAAACCCTTTTTGAACCCAGACTCTGCCGATCAGCTGGGAAGCACTGCAAGACCTAAACCTGCAGCACAAAGGTACCCAAAGGGTCCAAAGTAATTACCGATATAGTACAATGTAGGGTTTCTATACTATTATGATTTGGGGCAGTATTCCCCACAACGTTACATAGGACCCTTGGGGGAACCCCAAAACCTAAACCTCTAAAGCTTAGGCTTTCGAGGCGCATCTCCTTCAGGACACAAAGAAACACCGGGCTGAAAAAGCATTCGGGAGTTTCCGAAAATAGGGAACCCTAATATAAAGTACCCTAGATAGTAGGATCCTTATTATAAGGACCCCAAGATAAGGTGCACCTAATTGTCGGAACCTCCCATTTAAGGTTTAGGGCGTTTTGGTTAAGTTCAGGGTCCCTTAAGCCCACAACTCCACAGCCCTAAACTTCCACAGGCTGTCTATCAATCTACTCAGAAACCTCACCAACTCTAAACCATGCTGATGCTCTACACCGGACGTAGTTCTTTAAAGCACTGAGCATCCCATGCACAGGACGTCTGACCAAAACAAATAGACTGGAGTCCTCTAATCAAAGGGGAAAAGGAGGGACCCTTAATGGGGATCCCTACCCTATAATGGGCTATATAATGGGTGTATAATAGCTAAATTAAAGGTATATACCTAGGGGTCCTTATTAAGGGTCCCTCCTTCTACCCTTGGATCTAAGCACGATAGCAACAGTCCGGAGACTACCCTACCAATAGTCCATAGTTTCGACTTGTTACTTTGTTTCCGATTCCAGGATCCTAATCATGAAGTTGGGTAGCCCAGAAAGGGAACTGCGACAGAGACTAAAGGTGGTGCATACACTTGCCATGTATATATATATATATATACATACATATATGTATGTATGTTTGGCCACAATCGAAGCTTGGTGCCTGTCATGAAGTTATGGCCATCCTCCGAAAGATTCCTTTAGCCTCCACCCCCCAGTATCCGAAGCGCAAAACAAGGCTTTTCCCTCACCCCTAAACATGTAGCCTACAAAACCTACATCCCTCAACGGTAAACACAACCCCCCTCACCCCTAAACCCAAAACAACCAAACGCCTAAACCCCAAACCCCCAAATCCATAAGCCCAAAATCCACAACCCCTAAACCCCCCTCACCCCTAAATCATGAAACTCCTCAGCTTCCCATGGCACCAGCTGCCGCCCACTGTCTGCCGGCCGCTGGAAGGAGGATGCCCTCAGGCTGCTTAGGGTTTAAGGGTTTAAGGGTTTGTTTTTTTTGGGGGGGGCTTTGGGTTTAGGCTTCAGGATTTGCAGGCGCTGCGCACACAGGCTTGAATATCTTCGCTGTCTCATGTAAACGTGACACAATGGAGGCGCATGGGTACTCACAGGATGATGAGGCAGCACGTGCATGACACGTCAAATGAAGAAGCCTTCCGTTCTGCAATGCCGTGGAAACGCAGAGGCTTGTTCTGCATTTTGCATACCCTAAACCTAAACCGTTTGAAAGGCTTCCGAAGCCCCGGTATGAAGGCATCGTACTGCTTCAGGAAACTTCACAGCATAATCCACAACCCTCTAGTTGAGTACTCGGGATCCCCTCGTGAATGTCAAGATCTCCAAGCAGCTAAGCACTATCTCATAGCCCCTCAATCTGCCGCCCAAGCCTCAAAGCTAAGATGCTAAATGCCCTAAACCCCCAAACCCTGGAAACACCCTGGTAGGCCCTAGAGCCATAAACACCCCAACCCCACACAAAAACCCATGTAGACTGACGTACGCATGTATGCCTGCATGTATGTATATGTATGTGGGTAGTTGTCAAAATTAAGGTCGCTTTTTGGGTACCCTAAATAATAGGTGCCGTATTAGAATAGGGACCCAAAAAGGGACCATAATTTTGACAACCACCCATGTGTGTATGTATGAATGTGTATGTGTATACATTGGATAACTATAATATGTACATACTTCTTTGTGTATCATTCTCGCAGACAAGTACGTATATGTATGCATGCATCCATGTATGGAAGTTTCCGAAAATTATAAGGACCCCCAAAATAGGGTACCCCATGCGTATATGATCGGAGCACATGTGAGCCGCCGACCTGAAGTCAGTACGTAGACTAGGATACCCAGTAGCCTAAGAATAAAAAAAGGCCTCTCTTCTTGGCATTGGGTAACTTTATAAGGAACCTAGGACTACAAAAACGGAATAAGGGTACTACTGGCATCCTAGTTGTGCTGAGTGATGGCTCACAGGACTGTAGCTTGCTGGTCTGGTGAGCTGTCACGTTCAACCGTTTCCATGTGGTATCCTGCGATGGGGCCGCGGGTTTTAAAAAAGTTTCCTAGAGACGGATGCGGCACAACCTGCAGCCCCAAACGCTATAGCTGTAGACCGAAACGGTACCTGCGTACCATGATCTCTTCACACCCGAACCGCAACCTTTAGGCCTACCCAAACCCCAGATGTCCCAAAGCACTCCGAGTCCGGGTGGCATCCAGCCAGGTATTCCCCTTGGACAGCTTCAGGGCTCATTATAGGGAGCAGAAACTGGAGGAGTACAGCAACCGTATGATCCGCATAAAGTACCCTTATGGTCATCATGTAGCACCTTTCAATAACTTCAGGGTCTGTCGGTGCAGCGGTTTAGGGCTGACAGGTCTACTACTACTACTACTACTACTACTACTACTACTACTACTACTACTACTACTACTACTACTATTACTACTACTACTACTAATAATACTACTACTACCACTACTAGTGCGACTACTAATGGCAGTAATCTCTGTATTATAATTAATGGTATGTATAGCTACTACTACTCTTATTAGTGGTGTATCGTTGCTGGTATAGCTGCTAAACATACAATTGTTACCGCTACTGTTGTGACTATTGCTGTTATTCGTGTTGCTATTAGTATTGTTACTGCTGGTTGTATTGTCGTGACTGTTGTTCATATTATATGAATTAACTAGTAGTATTGTTGGCCTTGTTCTTCCTACGGTTGATGATATAAATCTGCAGTACCTTAAGGACCCTAAACTATGCAAATTATTGTATAGTCCTTATTCTGGGTAATGCAGGATTTATATCATCAACCGTACCCTACCCTAAACCCTAAACACGAGCAAAGGCTCTTCTCAGCTGGGCTGGTGCTCGGAGCGACCGGGCCAAGGAAGCTGGCCGGGTCCTCCTTCCAAGGTTGGGCTTTGTCTTGTTTGGTTTAGGGTTTAGGATCATTTTACAAGGGTATTATGTGGCATGCTACGGTTATTGAGAATGGTTGCTTGAATTTTTGTTAGAAAGTTCGCCAACTATGCACTAGCTATGCAATCCCTCGTGTTGCAGTATCAGGGTCTGGATAGGGTATTCTAAGATTGAGTTTTCGGGGTTACGCCCAGGCTTGGAGCTTGGATGCTGACGGTGCGGCACAACATAGTTTGTTGCCTAACAACATCTTTGTAGGTTCCAGTAAGGCTGAGACAATCTTACCCATAGTACCAACAAAAAGGAACTACAAAGGAGACTATAGGTACAACATGAAGGCATTACTTTGCTGGGTTGCTGATTCAGAGTCTCAGAGGGTTTTGCGGTATTTCTTGCGGTGATGCTATCAAATCAAGGTACTTCTGGCATTTGTACTCTGTACACTTACTCGTTTACAACAGAGCTTCGTGCTTTTTGCCTCATATCTAAAGCGATCTGAACGAACTTCTGTAGCTTCCTACTTCGGTCGTTGGGGTCTGTGCCACCAGACTGGTTTTTCTTGCGGCTAGACATGTGTTGCAAGGGGGTTGCAGCTCTAGTGCAGGGCTTGGTTACGGGGTGTTGTAATGATTGATACAGGGTTGACTAGATATCGATGTAAAGGAGAGGGTCGCAGGGGTTCGAAGGTCCTCAATCAGGTCTTCTGCAAATTCGCCAGAACTTTTCTGGGACGTTTACAGGGCCTGTTAGCGTTTCTTTCGCACCAGGGCTTGTGCAATCGCCGGACCTGGTGCGAACTCAGAATCGTCGGAGGTGATCGGGTATACGATGGGGATAGCGACTAAAGCAATAGCAGCTACAGTCGTGAGAACCACCGAAGCGATAGTCAGTACAGTCAGGAGAATCACCGAAGCGATAGCCGGAGCAGTGCCTTATCAGCTTGACTCAATTTTCCAGAGCCCGGGGCCCGGAGATGATCTGTACACTCACTTACAAGAGTCTCTCTGGAAACGTCGCCCTCTTTACAATTGTGCCTCTCGGACATAGACATATTGAGCCATACGAACAACTATACAACACACAACCAGGCTGGCCACAACCATAGCAAGCAAAAATGCCCAGCATCTTGTAGATGCAGTTCTGGGCGTCTGGCCTCACACACGTGCTCCCCCTGTGGCAAAGTGTCACACCCTGCTCGGGACTCACTGTACAAGTATGGTCGCACAGGTTTCTTCGCTTGTCACCTCTGTAGCATTGTGGCTGGGATGACCTGCATTTTTGTCCGTCCAGCCATCTGTAACCATGTGGGTGGTTGTCAAAATTAGGGTCCCTTTTTGGGTTCCCTAAATATTCGGTGCCGTACTATAATAAGGACCCGAAAAGGGACTGTAATTTTGACAACCACCCATGTAATATGGACAGGCCCAGCCTCGCAGATTCACGGCCACTCGTCTTGAGATCTGCGGCCAACATCCTAAGCCCTAAACCCGAAGATGTGGTTGCGGAGGGTATCTTGCACCATAGTCTGGCGACGTCCTGTGAGCATGCGAGCTTCGAGAGGAGCTGGAAGACACGTAAAGACCGGCGATGCATGGCGTCCCCAATCTGTGCCGAGTTGGTGAACCTTGTCTAAACCCTGAAACCCTGCCCTAACCTACGCCCTTTCGCATGGACTGCGCTTTGCCCGAGCATCTCTTCCAACCGACTTGGTTCAGTTGCAGCCGTTCGCCAAATACCCCTCGTAAAAGTGCGTAGAGAAACTATAAACGAGGGACCCCATGGGACTACCCTTAGGCCCCAAAGTAGTTCCTTTTGGGAATACCCTATAGGATTCTATATATGAATCCCCAAAAAAAGAACTACTACTGTTGATGATATAAATCCTGCATTACCTTAAGGACCCTAATCTAAAAGAGAACGAACTACTATGGAGCCTCTAGGAAAAGCACCCTAAAGCCCTACAACCCTAAAAAGCCTAAACACATAGATCCCTTTAAAGGAACCCTATAGATCCCTTATAGGAACCCTTATAGGATCCCTTTAAAGGAACTATTTTGGGACCCATGGGACTATGAATTCCCATCGCCCCCAAACTCCTGAGCCGACGTCCGAAGACTAGGGATGAAGTTTGGGGTTTAGGGGTGTAGGGGTTTAGGGTTTAGGGGTTTAGGGTTTAGGGGTTTAGGGGTTTAGGGTTTAGGGGTTTAGGGTTTAGGGGTTAAAGGTTTAGGGTTTAGGGGTTTAGGGTTTAGGGTTTAGGGGTTTAGGGGTTTAGGGGTTTAGGGGTTTAGGGTTTAGGGGTCTACCCTAAACGGTTTCAGCACTCACAACTAGACAAGCAGGCGAGGATTCGAGTACACGTGTGTCCAGCCCATTGGCTACTTGCAGAGTCATCCTAGCGTTTCCTAGGGAGGGTGAGATACACTAACCAACATGACTACCTTCTCGATGAGTTAGGGGTTAGGGGTTTAGGGGTTTAGGGTTTAGGGTTTAGGGTTTAGGGGTTTAGGGTTCAGGGGTTTAGGGGTTTAGGGGTTTAGGGGCTAGGGGTTTAGGGTTTAGGCGTTTAGGAGTTTAGGGGTTTAGGGGTTTAGGGGTTTAGGAGTCTACCCTATGCGTCTAAATTTCAGCTCTTGAACGATGAGACTGCAGCAAGTATACCCCTGCCCATGCCTTGTCGAACTGCCCATGTCAATTCTAAACCCTAAGCCCTCTAACTGTAGACCCTAAACCCTAGAGCCTAAGCCCGAAATAATGAACCCGAAGCCCTCTAGACCGGAAATCCTTTTTATGCAACTGAATCCCTGAAACCCTAAACAATGAGCCTAAGCCCGATATATCCCGAAATCCGACACCTCTTAACTCCTAAACCCGAACTAGATCCTAAACCCCTAGATCCAAACCCCGCCTATAGTCTCCATTGTAGTTCCTTTGTTTGGTTAACCAGTTTTATGGTTAGGATCCTTTTATGGAGATTTTGGTTAACCAAAAGAAGGAACTACAATGGAGACTATAGGCGAAAACATGCAGAACCAGGGTTGAAATCCGACACCACTTAACTCCTAAACCCGAACTAGACCCTAAAACCCTAGATCCAAACCCCGAAAACATGCAGAAGCATGGTCCGGGAGTTGAAGCACATCTCCGGCAGCCTTGATGCCTCTGCTTTGTGCTGTGGGCATAGGGCTGCAGAAGGGGCTTAGGGTTCAGAGTACGACGGCAAAGTGTGGAGGGCCTTAACAAATGGAACAGGGTTTTGATGGTTATAGTAGCATATATTCACAAATGACAAACCGTATACCGTAGGAAGAATATTGGTAATTATTCCGGTCTCTACAATAAGGCTTCACAGGGCGTGATAATTAAGCCCTACGGCATTGCAGACTGCATTCTTTGCCTAGTTCAAGAGCTTCGCATGCTGATGACTCATGTGTGTACGGATGGTCCGCGGTTGAACGGCGCACGCCAATCTCTAAACCCCTAACCCCTTCCGTGTGTCTGACTACTTCTACTCTCCATTCTAGTTCCTTTTCGGGGTATCTTATAGCATCCTGACTATAGAAATGGTTACAGCGAAAAAAGAGGAACTACAATGGAGGCTATGGGTATGTTACTAGCACAGAAGTTGGCATTGAAGAAGTGCCTGTACCCCTTCAAGGCCCAAGTAGGCACTGTAATAAACATGGACCTTAATCTCAAGGTGCCTGCATAGCTCGGGCCTGATACTGAGGTGTTTCAGAGGTTTGGGGTTGAAGAGGCTTCGCGGCCTCTGAGGGTTTATGGCTTTGGATACAGCATTAAGGGCCTAGGGCCTAGGACCCTAAACCCAGAAACCTTCTTAAGTCGCTCTGTTAAACTTTGAACAGTTCCTTCCCTCCCAACAGTAAAACTCAAGCCTTACCAACGAGCCCCACGCAAACCGCACCATAGCCTACCTCAAACCCAAACCCTGTAAACCATCCCCACTACTCACAAACCGAAGCTTCTGCCCATGGAGTTCTTTAAGAAAACACTGCTCTCATTATCAAGGCCCCTATGTTACAGAACCCCTATAGTATCCCTTCTTATAGACCACACCCCATTGGAGGAGGCCTTAGAGAAGCCCTAAGGGCAATGTAAGGTTGTATGATATAGGGTCCCTTTACGGATGCCGTACCGGTCGAAATGGGATTCCCCTTGAAGGTCTATAAGGATCCCCTTAAAGGAACACTATGAAGGTCTATAATAAGGAAGCCCCTTAGAGGAACACTATGAAGGTCTACAATAAGGATCCCCTGAACGGAACACGATGAAAGTTACTAGGCCCCCATAAAAGTCGTCCGGGAAGGCCTCGAGTAGGAGGAGGCTTTCGTGGCGACGGGGCCCGGCTCGGGCGTGCCGGGGGCGGCCTGCTGGAGCCGGGACCTACCTTCCTACCGAAGAAAGCGCCCTTTCAGGTTTCCTTGTAGGGTTTAGGGTTTCGGCGCTCGCACTCGGACAATCCAGGCGAGGCATGTGGTTCGGAGTCTGCTGAGTGAAACGACTCTAGGAGAGCGGTCAAAAGTAAGCAACAAACAGGGTTTAGGGTTTTAGGATTTAGGGTACAGGACCTCGGGCTTCCCGGCTTTAGGGAGCCAACAAGAACCATGTCGGGGCCTACAGAATGAAATTCGGCTTAAGTGTTGATGAGGGCTTAGGGTTCTGAGTTCTTTGTAAAAAGGCTCGGCTTTGCCCGAGCTCCAAATCTAGGCTTCCGGTGCTCTTGGAGATTCGGTTGAATAACATCGGGTCCTTAATAATTAGAATAGGGTTTCGGGGCCCACTCTACGATAAAACAACACTGAGGACCCCAACCAAAAACGTAGTGTAGGTAATTATTAAAGGCCCTATATTAACAAAAGGGCTCGGGATTCAGATTGAACTCCGCCTTCGCTTCTTCTGAGGCCTTGTTGGACACCATGGGCCATCAAAAGCGATCCCAGAGACTCCAATATCCCTTAATTAAGGAATGTTCCTTAAATTATGGTAGGATCCCTTATATGATTTAAGGGATATTCCTTAATTATGGGATATTGGAGTTTTGGGGGTCAGGATGTATAGCAAATCCCCTCACATTGGGTGTACTCTGACTCTGTGTCCGTCGTTATGAACGTGGGGTTGCAGTTAACGTCTGGAAGGGAACCACATTAAGAGCATGGTTCAGAACCATGGCTTCTCACGAGGTTCCTACCCAGAGACTCCAATCTCCCTTACTTGAGGAATATGCCTTAAATATTATCCCTAAGATGATTCAAGGAGTCTCTGAGTACGGAACCCGTAAACCCTAAGCTCCTTCCTTGGAAAGCCTTAAAGCCATGACTTCTGCAAACTGAGATCGTAAACATTCGCAAACCCTAAAACTCCCTATAGGAGCCCCTATAGTACTCCTAGGGAATCCTTACACATCCCATTTACGAACCCGTAGAGTCCGTCAATCCGAAGGAACCAAAACAGAACCCCTTGCAGCAACCCTGAGAGGAAGCCTTGAAGAAACCTTTAAGGAAACCCCTATAGGAACCCTGAAAGCAACACTTAAGGCCTACTTGGAGGGTCGGGGGACTTAGTAAGTAGGTAGTAAGTAGAGTTATAAGTACCCTAAAAGGGACCCTACGTGGGGTTATGGTGCTTATAACTCCGTAAAGTAACCAGTTACTAAGTCCCCCGACCCTCCCTTTTGCATCCAGGCCGATTGCGACTGCCGGGTACCCCTGAAGAATGGAAACTGAGGGCCAGGCAGATCTGCAGCCAGTAGCCAGAGACTCCAATATCCCTTAATTAGGGAATATACCTTAAATCATATAAGGGATCCTACCATAATTTAGGGAATACTCCTTAATTATGGGTTACCGGAGTCACTGGCGGTGGCGGTGGCGGGGGCGGGGCGGGCGGTGGCGGGGCCGGCCGCGGGGGCGGCGGGGGGGTGGGGGTGGGGGGTGGGGGTGGGGGTGGGGTGGGGGTGGGGGTGCGGGGGGGTGGGGGTGGGGTTGGGGTGGGGTGGGTGGATGGGGGTGGGGTGGTGGGGTGGGGTGGGTGGATGGGGGTGGAGGGTGGGGCTGGATGATCGCATGCGACCACTCTGAACCGTTTTAAACCCTAAACCCTAAAACCCTACAACCCTAATCCCATAAAACCCTAAAGCCCTAAATTTCTAAAATCCTTAAAAGCCCCTAAAACCCCTAAAACCCTAAATTTCCAAAATCCCTAGACCCTAAACCTTTATAAGACCCTAAAGTTCAAAAATCCCTAGACCCTAAACTTCTAATCTCTAAAATCCCTGAAGCCCTTTTTAGCCAGGGCCCCCCCAAAAGGGCCGCGCCTCACGGGAAGGACGCGGCGAGGCTCAGGGGCGGGCTCGGGAAGCTGCACCGCCTCGACGTTGAAGGGGTTCACCTCAGAGGGAGTGTAGGGTTCCTTTAAAGGGATCTATAGGGTTTAGGGTTTTAGGGTTTTAGGGTTTTAGGGTTTAAGTTTAGATACTCAAGCCTTAAAGGGGTCCCTATATAGGTAGTTTAAGGCCCAAGTATCTACTATATGGGTACATGGAGCCTTTGGGGAGGGAGCGGTGTAGGGTTCCTTTAAAGCCTTTAGGTCAGGGTTTAGGGTTCCTTTAAAGGGATCTATAAGGCTTCCTATAAGGGATCTGTAGGGTTTATGGTATAGGGTTCACCTCAGAGGGAGCGGTTTAGGGTTCCTTTAAAGGGATCTATAAGGGTTCCTACAAGGGATCTATAGGGTTTAGGGTTTTGGGGTTTTAGGGTTTAAGTTTAAGGTTCACCTCAGAGGGAGCGGGTGCTTTTCCTAGAGGCTCCATAGTAGTTCCTTATCGTTCATATATATATATATATATATATAGAGTCCTATAAGGGTATCCTAAAAGGAACTACTGTGGAGCCTATGGGTAGGGCTTTCGGGCATTTAGTGTAGGGTTTAGGTTTCCTTTAAAGGGATCTATGGAGCTCCTATAAGGGATCTATAGGGTTTAGGGGGGTGTAGGGTTTAGGGCTTTAGGGTTGTAGGGTCTTAGGGCTGTAGGGTTTTAGGGTTGTAGGGTCTTAGGGCTTTAGGGCTTTAGGGTTGTAGGGTTTTAGGGTTTGGGGTGTTTTTTGCCTCCCGCAAAAAACACCCCAAACCCTTAGGGTTTAGGGTTTTAGGACCTTTAGGGTTTAGCAGCTCTTGTAAGGCATTTAGGGTCTTTTCGCTTTAGGATTGGAGGTTTAGGGCATTTAGGGCATGTAAGGCTTTCCGGTTAGGGCTTTTAGGCTTTCAGAATAAGGCTGACCTCGGCGAGTGGTTAGGGCTTCTCGGGTTGTTGTGCGGCCTTGCTTTGTGCTGCTTTCTCAACTACTTGGTAATCAATAGCCGGCTATGGTATAGGGTTTAGGGTTTAGGGTTTAGGGTTTGTAACAGTGTGCGCGCGGTGGGTGCGCCTTTTACTTTAGGAATAGGGGGCGCACCCACTAATCGCGCGCTTGCGTCAGCATGTAGTCCCGCCCCAACCACCCCAACTATTCTCAATTAGGGTTTTGGGTTCACCCCCCAAACCCCCCTCAAGGGGGGCTTTCTTGCTCTCTGCTTCCTTTCGCAGCTTGACACGTAAACAATAATATATCTCCAGAAATCACAACCGAAATGGATTGCTGTCGGGTTGTGGGTCCTCGCGGCCTGTGCCGGCCGCTCGACGAAAAGCAAGGGTTTCCAACAAACAACTTGGGTCTCGCGCCCTGTAAGGGCTGCTCGAAGTGTGAACAAGGCGGGGCAAGAGGGCGGGCAGGGCAGGCAGAGGGCAGGGCAGGCAGGGCAGGCAAGGGCAGGCCAGGGCACGGCAACAGGGCAGGGCAGCAGGGTAGGTCAGGCAGAGGGCAGAGAGGGAGGGCAGCGCAGAGGCCAGTGCAGGGCAGGGTAGGGCAGGTGGGGGCACCCCCCCAGGGGGCGAGGGCGAAAATGCAGTTTTTGTCCAGGTCCCCCCCTAGGACCCACCTGGAGGCCCCTGGGTCCCTGGAATCGGCCAGCTTGGGGCCCCAGACCCTTCTGTGGGGGGGTTTGGAACTCAATTGGTGAGGGATTTGGGGTCCTCACGGACTGACGTCCGTATTGTGTGAGGCGTAGCCGAGTCATTTCCGTCCCCGTATACCGGGAGGCTTTACCCTCCCTCACCGTCTTGTCGGGACGCTCGGCCGGGGGCCTCGGTCGGAGCCTCGAGCGCCCATGCAAATGGTCAGCGGCGCTCTCGGCAGTTTAGGGTTTAGGGTATGCTTGTGGTGTTCGGGGATGGACACACAAAACCCAAAACACACCCGAGCAAGCATCCTAAACCCCCCTCAAGCCCAACGGGCCGAACGAGCCAGAACCCTAATCCACAAGCCCCCAACCCAAATCCAATGTCTGAGCCCAACGACCCCCAACACCTAACCTAAAACTCACTATCCGAATCAGCAAGCACACTCTGAGCCTGAGCCCATAAACTAGCCTAAGCCATAAGAGCCAGCACACCCCCCCGAGCAACACCCAACTCCAAACATGCTAAAGCTAACCTTAACTATACTGAACTTAGAACCCCAGCAAAAATGCTAAAATTTGCTGTTTCTTAGGGATTATAACAACCAAAAATTAAAAATGAATTTTAAGTACCCCTAAGTTAAGACCAGTCCGACGCAAACGACAGGATCCTGAAGCTAACGTAGTACTGATCACAATAGACAATACCCTAAGGCCCCAAATCCTTTTTGAGGTTCATATATAGAATCCTATAGTTTATTCCCAAAAAGGAACTACTTTGGGGCCTATGGGTAGACCCTATACACCTCAAACCCTGAGTATGAACTTTGAACACTCCTAAAGGGTGCCTGCGGAGTGTCGTCGCTGCGGACTTGCTCCAGGCGCTCTTTCCACCTCCACAGTCCGACAGGGGAGTTTCCGAAAATAGGGGACCCGAATATATAGGACCCTAAATAGTAGGATCCTTATTATTATATGGGCCCCCAAATATGGTACCCCTAATGTTCGGAAAAATCCTAAAGAGATTCGAAGGCTTCGGGTTTACGGTTTGCGGTTGAGGGTTTGGGGTAGTTCAATCGCTTTGAACTTGCTTATATCAGGGTTTGTGCGGGATTTGCGGTTTAAGTTCTCAAAGTTCGGGGTAAATCGATTTGAACTGGCTCATGTCAGGGTTTGGGCGGGGTTTTGCGGCTCAGGTTCTGGAGGTTTGGGTGGTATGGAAATGGGCGCTTGATCATCTTATGTTGTGCAGACATATTCAAACAAGTAACAAAGGTAACTTACCGGAGAAGCCTGTGGACATATTCAGCAAAATCAAAAGGTAGCTGTGCCGCGGAAGAGACAATCAATAGCTTCTAAGACGACTGCGTGAGACGAAGCTTTGATAAGAGGCAGCTGCGCGTTTCTGTGGAGTACCAAGATAAGGCTGACGAATCATACGAAGGCTACGACAGCTCTTTGAGGTTTGGGGGTTTCAGCACTCACAACTAGACAAGCAGGCGAGGATCCGAGCACACATCTCTCCAGCACATTGGCTACTCCAAGCATCATTGTACTACTACGGAGTCTTCCTAGCGATTCCCAGGGTAGGTGAGAGACAGTAAGAAAACATCACATGACCAACTCCTCGGCTATCTCCGGACTGTACATCCTGACAGCCTTGCATACACTCCGCTTCCCTTGTTCCCGGCTATCTCACTTCATCTTCTTGTGCAAACTTCCACAGCAAGACTGGCAAGACACGCAGAACATCCCATCCCTTCATCCGCCATTGCATGCAGTCTTGCAGATGTCCTCGTCGTATGCAAACGTGGCTTCACGTTGCCCAGATCACTTTGCGATGCCAGCCAGATGATTCTCATCATGTGGCTTGTCTGCATTGTATGCACAGTTGCGGGATCAAGTCCTCCTGACATCGCTACCTTTATTGCTCCGGCGGCAAGGAAGTACACTGACAGCTTCTTCTTCTTCTCTTCACGTCTCATGTCTTTGACTGGCTGGTCCATGAAGTCCGGGGGTTTAGGGTTCTTTTTGTCGGGGGGGGGGGGGTGTTAGGTTTTAGCGTGTTAAGGGTTCAAGGTTTAGGGTTTATGAAAATGCCTAAAGCCAAAGAACTATGATAGAGACTACGAGTATCGTCTTTGATCTCCTTTGCTCCACACCTCCTCAAGTTTCGGCTGCAGAGAGGCATTTCTATATAGCTTAGGTTTGTGACGATATAGGATTTAATTCAATGCAGGGTGGGTCACCCAAGACGCCTGACCTCCCAACATGCTCAACGCCCACCACAGCGCCACGTCCGGAAGACTATACGAACCCAAACAAGACATTAAACTTATAGTAGAAGCCAGAAAGTTGGAACATCATTCTCCTCATGCCCTTAAGGTAAATTAGAAGGGATCCTAGCACGAATCCTCCTAAAGCCATGTTCCAACTTTCTGGCTTCTACTATAAGCCCCTCAACCCTATGGGCCAAGTAGCCATCCTCCTCACCTCCAAAGGTCAAGCTCCAAATCCAAGGACGTAGGGTAAAACCCGTAACGGCACTCGAACAGCTTGACCACCAAGGCCATAGAAACCTGGTTTAAATTGACCTTCTCCAAGGGGAACTGCTGTGAACCCTGAGGGAAATAACCAAGTTCTGCAAGCATGCAGCACCTCGCTATCTGGCTGGGTCGCTGCCTGATGGAGTGCTAAGACTTGAGGTTTAGAGTTTTCAATTCGGGATAGGGGGGACACGCCTATGGAGGCAGGCTGGAGAGATTTATGTAGAGATTCCGGGGGTTTGTGGTTGTGATCCTTTAGAGATTTGTCTATGGGGTCGGTTTGGATTTGTAGGACGCCGAAGTGAATTCTTTATCAGGTTGTGTAGTGGTGTTTTGCAAAACCTAAACCACCCTAACCCCTAAACCCTACCCCCTCAACCCTAACCCCTCAACCCTAAACCCTAAACCCTAACCCCTAAACCCTAAACCCCTAAACCCCTAAACCCTAACCCCTAAACCCCAAACCCTAACCCCTAAACCCTAACCCCTCAACCCTAAACCCTAAACCCTAACCCCTAAACCCTACCCCTAAACCCAAACCCCTAAACCCTAAACCCTAACCCCTAAACCCTAAACCCCTAAACCCTAACCCCTAAACCCTTTCCCCTGAACCCCAACCCCTCAACCCTAACCCCTAAACCCTTTTTGCAGCAGGCCTCGTTGTCCGGCAGCCCGGTTACAGCAAGAGCCCAACCCTAAACCCCTAAACCCTAACCCCTAAACCCTTTCCCCTAAACCCTAACCCCTCAACCCTAACCCCTAAACCCTAACCCCTCTCTCTCTCTCTCTCTCTCTCTCTCTCTCTCTCTCTCTCTCTCTCTCTCTCTCTCAGGCACTCGAAGCGTAAACCCTATAACCCCTAAGCCCAACACCAAAAGCCCGACATCCTAAAAGCCCGACATCCTAAAAGCCGACAAAGCTTGGAAGATCCAAAACCGTCAGAAGCCCTCCTAGGATACCCAGTAACCTAAGAATAAAAAGGCCTCTCTTTTTGGTATTGGGTAACTTTATAAGGAACCTAGGACTGGGCATCCTAGCCTCGTGAATAACCCAAAGATGAGCCCAATGCCTCCAGGGACCTCATGATGGGGTCCTTAAGGGGTCTAGGGCCCTAACTATGAGGTCCTTGGAGGGATAGGGTAGATAGGTAGTTGAATATGGTAATCAAACACCAAATCTCACTTATCAAATATCTGTAACATTTCAGTTAAGGATTAACCCCTTGCAGTCTTGAGAAGGCCTGTACCATACTCTAGAGCCTTAGGCAAGCATAACCTATAAGACCCGCAGTTACGAGTCGCCCCTGCAAGCTAACTTCTAAAGGGAGTTCCAGAAAGTTGGAATATGGTTTCAGGGTAGGATACCCTATAATTTATCATAAAAGGCTTATGATAATCATATTCCAACTTTCTGGCTTTTACATTATAACATTTGCACTTCGAACTTTCAAGTCGAAATGAGCGGGAACATGAAACTGAATTGAGCCCAAGAACCTGTACCGGTTCTGAGACCTGGTGATCTGACTAGTTGGGGTTTGCGGGCTTGTGGTTTAAGGTTTAGTTACAGCATACCTATGCCCTGGGGTTTAGGGATCAGGTTTTAGAACATTGTCCCTAAACCCTATAAACCCTAAACCCTAAACTGGGCTTCGGCAGAATTCTTTGCTAATCCGTGCCAAGGCCGTATCTACCAAAGTCGACCTCTGCCTGATCTCCCTTAGACCCCAAATACATATGGGAGTTTCCAGAGATTAGGGGTACCTTTTTGGGGGCCCTTATAATAGGATCCTACTTTTTAGGGTACTATATTAGGGTCCCCTGTTTTCGGAAACTCCCATATCAGTAGGGGACAGTCAACCCTGTTTGAACAGTACATTATCGCGGCTTGCAGAACCCTTAACCCGAAACCTCTACTACGCATACGGGTCCAGCCACCTGGCCTATGTAAACAACACATTAAGCCACCAAATCGAAAACCCGTTCAGCCCTATTGTGCTGAACTTTGTCGTGGGCATGTTGCAGACGCTCCATGTAAGCGCTCTTCCGCCGAACCTTGCTCTCATCCTGTCGGTACACCGAGGTTTCGTGTAAGTGGGAGTCCCGTTTAACGGGATACTTTGGGGTCTAGAAAGTGTGTGTATGTAAAGAAATATTAAACATGTGTGTATGTATGTATATATATATATATATTACCTATATATGTATATGTGTGAATATATATATATATATATATGTGCAATACCTTCCTACGTTGGGCGATCTGGAGCCCTGGGGCCAGGGAGGCTCGCATATCAGGTGTCCCGGTCTGGGGGGAGTTGAAACACGCGATCCCTACGGTTTTCTACCGATGCTGGTGTGCCCTATCATTGCTGAAACTCAGTCGGACGTTTGGTTGCTTGGAGGGGCCCAAATGAGAGTTTCCGAAATTAGGGGATCTTAATGTAGTACCCTAAATAGTAGGATCCTTATAAACTCCCAAATGATTGCGTGTTCTATTCCTCATTAGGGGTTCCTTACTTATAGTGAACCCCGAATCTCGACCCTGTAAGTATGAAGGTCCTTGTTTTACGAGCTCGAAGTCGTTTGGACTCCCGAGCCCAAACATAAAGCCCTCAACCTGTCCTTCTCCAACTCCGGCGGAGCTTCGATATGATCTTTCACCTCAGCCGGCCGCCACCGGGATGCAACAGCGAGGCTCCGTCAAAAGGTACATTTGGGAGTTTATAGTACCCTTAATGGTAGGATCCTTATTATAAGGACCCCAAAAATAAGGTACCCCGAATTTCGGAAACTCCCATTTAGTGTTTCAGGTTCCGGATTCTCTTAATGGTACTCGGAGGTTCATGGGTAGTTCTGAGTAGGGTTATGAGTCCCTAAATATGGGTTATATAAGTATAGGTACGCTACTTATAACCCTACTTATAGCTACCCATGATCCTGCAAGTAGTCTTTCCTAACGATGCCGCATCCTATGATGCTTGAATTGAACCCCGACTCTGCCGACTCAGCAGCACTGCATGATTTCACACAATCCTATACTACTTAGACCTTAAGCTCTTCGTTGAATTCCGAGCTGAATCCAAAACCCTGAAACCCTAAACCTAAATCCCATGTTACTATGCTTGCGGTTTAAAACAAGTCGAAATCATTAATTCGAGACCTGAGTTCGTCTGGGAGGCCCTTAGGGCCTTCGGGTGAGGAGGCTTTCGGGCCTGGTTGGTTCAGGTAGGTTCGGCTTTAGCGAGTTTGGGGTTTGGGGAGGTTTCCCAGAGACTCCAACATCCCTCAATTAAGGAATGTTCCTTAAATGATCGTAGGATCCCTCATAATATGGTTTAGGGTATATTCCTTAATTACGGGATATTGGAGTCTCTGGGTTAAGGTTTGGGGAGTTTACGCTCTCGCGACTCGGACAAGGGAGTCTATCGTTATAGGCTTCAGGTCATGAGAACTCGAGTCTCTCGTCCAGGACAACTTTACAGTGTATGGCTATTCGTGTGAGGCTTTAGACTTTTCATTGAAAAGGGTACCGTATTTTGGGGTCCTTATAAATATAATAAGGATCCTACCATTTAGGGTACTATAAACTCCCAAATGTACCTTTTGAGGGAGCCTTGCGAAGGCCAAGAGCATGCGAGGAAAGGGCGACTATGCTACATGAACTTCGGGTTGAAGTCTACGGTTTAGGGTTTAGGGGTTTAGGGTTTAGGGTTTTAGGGTTTAGGGGTTTAATTAGGGTTTAGGGTTTTAGGGTTTAGGGTTTAGGGTTTAGAGTTTCCGAAGATTCGGGGTACAAAGAGGGATCCTACCACTGGGGGACTATATTACGTAGGGTCCCCTAATTTTCCGAAGCTCCCACATGATACGCTAAACCCTAAACCCTAATAGTGCTTCCCTCCTGTGGCAGCAGTGTGGGAGTTCCCAAAATAGGGGACCCTAACTTAATGCCCCACATAGTAGGATCCTTAGTACCCCTAATTTTGGGAAACTGCCATGTGAATGAAAGCCTAATCTGCTAGGCAGCTCGTAGCCTCTTATCCGAGTTGGCAGCAAGGATGGTCTTTGAAAGCCTGCCGGCTTAGGGGCCTTAATGATTAGACTAGGGTTTTACGGGCTCCTTACTATAATCATTAGAGGCCTCAATGATTAGAATAGGGTTTTAGGGGTTCCTTATTATAATTATAGCATATAACGTACCCCAAAACAATATTCTAATTATTGAGGCCCTTAATCATAGAGAAGCTCCTTATTATAATATAGTATAATGTACACCAAAACCCTATTCTTTTTATGAAGGCCCCTATATTAGGGGACCCTTAGCCAGCCATGGCTCTTCCTCCAAACCCATCTTCTCCTTCTCGGCCTGGCGATCAATTTTCACCGGGGCTATGCTTAGAGGTACCTTAAGGACGAAATGACCCCAAAAGGGTTTGAGGTTCATATATCATACAGGGATTCATAGTATATGGGTATATGGCCCCTACCTCTAAGGGTCATTTGGGTGGTCTTTGAGAGAAGGCTGAAGCCGCGAACTGGTAGTTCCCGGTGCTTCATGGGCTCTGTGGAGGTTTTGGGTTGGTCTGGGGGGGTGTTGTGATTTAAGGCTTGTACGGATAGTTTTGGTTGCGGAAGTCAGGTTTTTAAGTTGCACAATCTCCGCCTTGTCTCAGGGTTTCATAGCAGAATCTTCCTCCCAATTGGGGGCCGGTCTTGCAAGCCCGGCCCTCCACTCACGAGCTCGAGCTGGTTAAGCGTCAGAAATCTGTCTGGTTCTTGGCAGGGAATGCGGGAATGGGTTATGGGGGGCGAGTATTGTGGATTATATAGGGGCTACTGTAGGGATCCATGCTCCCATTCCCTACTAAGCACCAAACAGAAATTTCAGGATACCGGAGCCCAAGCGTCTGGAAACACTGGTGCTCAGGTGGTGGCTGGCTTTAAGGGTACGCTTGGGAGCTTGGCAGGCAATAATTGCCGTGGATTTGGGTCATGTTAAGTCTGGTCAGAACCTATCCGCCCGTAAGGTCCCGGATGCCGTGTTTCTGCTCGTCTTCTCTTGCTGTTCTCGAAATCAGGGTCACCAAGACATAAGACTAAAACCTCGACTTTTCAGTGTCGCATAAACACCAAAACTACAAGGCTAGAGTGAGTGTAAAGAAGACTCTCAGAACCCAAAGCCCAACGCCCCACAAATACAAGCAAAAATCATCGACTGTGAAAGCAGTACATACCTAACCGCCAGAGCCCAAGATACTGCTACACTGTGAATCATTATGCACTGAGATGAAACCGGTACATCCCAAGATACCGGAAAAGATATACCAAGGAACCTGATATCGCAACAATGGAAGGTTCGTCCAACAGCGGTTCCAAGGTCAGGATCGCACTGAAATAAAGGCAGTAATATCCCACCTCTCTTTGGATCTCTGCAGCAGCCAGTAAAGCCGCAAACAGACCTTCAGTTAGTTGGTCAGGGCTTGTGTTTTGTTACGGAACTGTTGTTGAACGACCCGTGTCCGTCTCGAGAAAGTCACAGGGCTTGGGTTTTTCGACGCTCACACTCGCACAGGGTTTGGGGCTTTGGGTTTGTGGGCTTACGGTTTGGGTTTAAGGGTTTTGGGTTTAGACTTCAGGTTTAGACTTCCGCGTTCATGGGATTCAACCCTAAACCCTAAACCCTAAACTGCACATGGGACGCACTGGGTCCCAGGCTCCCATCACTACTCTCCGGCTTGGACGTAGGGCCTATACATCCCGAAGAAGTCGCAGATGAGTAGAATCCTAGACCTAAGAGTAATCTAGTAATAAAAAGGGTGCCCTTTTTGGTTTAAAGGGAGCTATAAGGGAACCTCAACCCTAAAAAAGGGCCTCAAAATATGGTACCCTACTTTTCTACTTTCTTAAATAGTCTTACAATAGAAGCCAGAAAGTTGGAACATCATTAGCCCCATGCTCTTAAAGCAAAGTATAGGGAATCCTAGCACGGATCCTCCTAAATCCATGTTCCAACTTTCTGGGGTTCACTATAAATAGTAAGATCCTTATTAGAAGGACCTTAAAATATGGTACCTAAATTTTCGGAAACTCCCATTTTATCTTCCGGGAGCCCGGCTGTAAGATGGATGTTAGGCATGAGCTGCACTCTCGGATTTTCATGGCTTCAAGCAACTCGAAGTCACTCAGGGGACCCTGGGGATGTCGTGGAAAAAGTACATGCCACCCGAATAAAAGAATCTGCAGGCCATGAATGAACCGTTGTAGGATTCTTGAAATTCCCTACCACAAGATTCGAATCATCTTTGGTGCCCTATGTACAAACTAATTAGGCCAACAAGCCAATCTATTGCCTCCCGATTGAACCGTGCCTAGAGGCTCCATAGTAGTTCCTTTTTGTGGTTGATATTTAGAATCCCAGAAGGCATTCCCAAAAAGGAGCTACGATGGAGCCTATGGGTCATCTCTACGGCTACTGCACTCCACGCCCTCTCAACCGTGCGAGACCTCTGCAGTAAACAAAACCTTCCGGCTTCCCGCTGTAGCTCCTTCTCAATACATACGGGGTTTCCCTTAATCCTAAACCTCGAACCTACACCCTAAATCCAATTTTTCCTAAATCCTAAACCCCCACCCCAAACCCTAAAACCTGAACCCTAAGCCCCTAGACTAAACACCCTAAACCCTATGAGAACGGCTTTGAGTTTGTTGAAGTCTCGAAGACCCGAAGATTCCTAGTCTAAGGCTCTACACCCTGGCCCCAAACGTGGCTTGGGCTAGCCTGGCTTAGGGTTCAGGGTGTTATGCTTAGCTTATGCATGAGCATTGGAATACCCTTGAGCTATATCCGTTCATATTAGGATTTTTTTATCATAGCTACAAGTTCAAGCATATGGGTAGTTCTTTAAATTATGGTTCCATTTTGGGGCACCCAAGCCGCACGTGAACCTTTACTGAAAGCCCAAAACACAATTCCAAAACCCTACAGGACTTAAACCCCCCGACCAACCCCGTGGCTTAAACCCTTCAGCCCTAAACCGGGATCAAAATGGCCCAAAAGCCTTGTACAGTGTGGTCTTTGGGCCCAAAAGCCTTGATATATGGGTAGCCTGAACCCCTCGAAACCCCCAAGCCTCTCAACTCCCCCAAACCCGCGCAACCACTCGAACAGCGCAGGGTCTTTGGCTTCCTTTCCTAGTAAACCAAGCAGCTTTTGAGCCTTAAGCCCTGAATCTCGAAGCTTAAACCGTGCTGCGTGCTTGGTTGGTCTTCCATTTTGGGGCAAAATCTTGAGACGAAGTGCGGTTCGACCATGTGTCCTTCTGAGTCCAGCGGTCCGGCTCCATGAAAGCCTGGTAGACTTCCTGTCCATACCTCCGGGCTCAGGGCTTCGGGTCTGGTAGACTTCCTGTTCATACCTCAGGGCTTCGGGTTTAGGCTGTAGGGTTTCATGCTTAGGGTGTAGGGTTTAGGGTTCCAGGTAGGCTTCACGGTTTCGGGTGTCGAGTTCAGAGGAAGACCTCCTCTCCATGCCTTAAAGGCAGATCGACCTCGAGCTGCGTAGGGAAACCCAAACGCCTCAATGCTAAAGAGTAATATTAGAGTTCCTTATATGAATCCTACTATTCGGGGGTTATAGGCCCAAGGTTCCTTAATCAGGTTCTTACATTAGGTTTTGAAATGCTCCGGATGTTACTTTTCAATCTGACATGGGGTTGAAACGAAATCCCTTCGCCCTGAACAGAAAACACGCACAAAGGAACAAAGATCCCACTGAACCAAGCACAATACTAGTTACTAGTACTCGTACTAAAAGTCCTGCTCTTGCTGCTGCTGCTGCTGCTGCTGTTGCAGCTACTACTGCTACTACTGACTGCTGCAATGCTACTGCTGCCGCCACTGCTACGCTGGACCCAGCATGATTGCAGCCAAGCGGCACGATCTTCATCTGCTCAAGCCAGGTCCCAGCACGTCTGCTCCAATAGTTTTCCACGCCAATAACGCGCACTAACCTGGGATGGCATTTACAATGCGGCTGCTGGTTTCCGCAGGAGACAAAGAAAAGAAAGAGTGAACGACAGAGAGACAAAGATATGAGATATGTGCATGTGTGGTGTCATGTAAGCATGCTGATATGTATGTTACATTGTGCGTACATATATATATATATATGTACATATATACACACACATAAATACACACACACACATAAATACATACATACATACATACATACATACACACCATAGTTCAGGCATGCATACATATGCATAACATGCCGAATCCACGCTAAGCCGCCGGTCTACCTATTTCTACACTTATCCATCCACGTATCTGCATAGTTATCTCTAACTCCAACTCTGTCTCTACCTCTCAGCCAAACTCACTCTATCTCAATCTCCACCCATCTATCAATCTGCAGTTCTCTCCTCTTGTCTCTCTCACAAAATGTATCGAACATAACTAATATGTAAACACCTGTCTATCTGTCTCTCTCCGTCTCGTCGTCTACCGGTTCTGATCCTAAACCCTAAACGCCTAAACCCTGCTGTGAAGGCATGTCTCTCTGCCGGCACGGGGTCCTCTGAGCAATCCAACTGGTTACCGTTACAACGACGACGACAACGATCACCACCACCAACACCAAGACCACTAATCACCATAAGACTACCACTACCACTACCACCATCATGACACACAAACCGACTACTGCTGCTGCCGCTGCCGCATCTGCACCTTTGCTGCTGGTAGTGCCGACGACGACGACGACGACTACTACTTCTAGCACTACTGCTACTGCTACGACCACCAATATTACTACAGCTACTACGAATACGAACACGCGCACTACGATGACGCCCGTGGTGCTGCTGCTGCTGCTGCTGCTGCTGCTGCTGCTGCTGCTGCTGCTGCTGCTGCTCCCAATCAACATTGACATGGCAAAGTGTGCGTGTCTATAGACTCAGTCGATTTGATTCGGCGACCGCAAGGTAAGGCAAGGCACGGCAACATTAGATTTGGATAGCTAGGTCGATCGGAGGACTTGTCGACAGAGAGATAAACAGATAGATAAGCAGTTACCATGACAGATGTATCTACATGATGTATACAGTCATATATATATATATACACACACACACGCATGGACCATGAAGTTGTATGTATGAGTATCTTCTATGACTTTATGAGCGAGCGTATGCTCAGGCGCTTGCAGAGGTAGGCTCGTGCCATCCGAGAAGCTTGTCATGCAGGTAATCGACCTCACCATCCCAGCGAACCTGCACGGAGGGCTTACTGGGTCTAGATTCCAGCTCCTCAGGGGCTAAGTAGTTTGGGTTGGCGCCCATGGGCTTAGGGACGGAAATATCGACAAGTCTGTGGCTTCGTCAATCAACTCCATGTAAGTCACCAGAAGTATCAACCCAAATCCCCGTGTTCGAAACACACGCCGAGAGGCCTGCTGTTGGGCGCGCGATTCGATTCGCTGCATCGTTTTGATCCCATTCTTCTCCTTGGCCAGACGCGGATTCGCGCTTACGGCTCATATATGTCTTCCATGAAGACAACCCATTACCAGCATTAATCTCTGGCTGCTGCGGATGCGTGGAACATACGGATGAGACCCTCGACGCTCCAGGCCAAAATCGGGCTGAGATTGCATGAGGAGTTGGCATTGAAGTTCAGGGGATTCAAGCTGGAGCTAAAGCTATACATTGTCGAACGTCTCAACATCCTTAACTGAACCCTAAACTGCATCTCCAAAGACCGAACTCCCCCAACCTCTTCCTCTCAAACGGACGGCTGTCGACCCCAGACCTTACAACCGACACCGCGAATCCAGCAAAGCCCACGCTGCTGTCAAGTTTTAGGGATGACCAAACCCTAAACCCCAAACACGTAAAAAACAAAAAAACAAAACAAAAAGAAAAAAACCCACAGAGCATAAACTCTAAGTTTCAACGAACCCCCAAACCCTAAACCCTAAGCCCAGTGAGGCCCATGTAATGTTTCGCCACGGCACGAGGATCATGCGAAGGATCTTGTTCAGATCATCCCCTTGGGGCGAGAACTCAGGCGTTTTTGAGGCGACTTCTGAGTTCGTCTACTTAAAGGATCATGGGACTTAGTAACTGGGGTTATAAATAAGGTAACTACATTTATAATTACTTATAACCCCAATTAAGGTACTTATAACCTGACTTACTAAGTCCCATGATCCTCTAAGTAGGCTTTACCTAGGGTTTCGGGGTACAGGAGTTGGGGGTTTAGGGTATATAGGAATTAGGGTCAAAGGGCTTGGGGTTTCGGGGCATAGGAGTTGGGAGTTTGGGGTACGGGAATGAGGGCCTCAGTGCTCTAAATGGAGTCGCACTCTGGGTAACTTCAGTGTGTCTGGGCTTAAGATTGTATTTCGCAGAGTTTAACTCGTCAGAGTAGGACTCAACCTGACCCCGTGCTCTACATACAGTCTCAATTGACGTTCTTGCTGGGGGGGCACCCTATTGGATCCTACATTATAATTTGTTAAGTCCCCAAAAAGGACTACATTGAGACTGTAGGTGGGGGGGGGGTGGTGCCTCAGTATTGGAGTACAGCAGCGATTTAAGTTGAGTAGTTGTAATTACTCAGGCTTCTTTCTCCCGGCTTTTAGTTGTGACTTATATAGAACCTGGCAACAAAGGGACTCGCTTCAAGCCCAGGTGTCGATCTGGAGTGGGCTCCGAATCGCCCAAAGTGAGCTCTATTTATAAACTTTAGACCCCAACGTAGGCACCTTTCGACTAGTTGGAGCCCCAGCCCTAAGCCCTTGTTTCATGGAGTCGTGTACGTTTGCGAAACACGTGTCTTCAGCCCTTGGGGCCCTATACCGACACGGTTTAGGGTTGTAGAGTCTAGCGCTTATGCTGGACGTACCTGGGGTTGGTAAAATGTGGAATGCTACTCTATACTCCTGCTCCTGCTCCTGCTCCTCTTCCTCCTCCTCCTCCTCCTCCTACAACAACAACAACTACTACTACTGCTGCTACGAATCACTACGACAATTAAGAGAAGAAGAATACGCGTCCTACGATTTGGATGCTAAACCCTAAACAACCTCACAAAACCCTGCTAAACCAGTGAACCCTGGTAAACCCCAAACCCTACACCCTAATCCCTAAACCCCTAACCCCCAAACCCTAAATCCCCAAACCCTAAGCCCCTAAACCCTAAAACCCCCAAACCCTAAGGCCCCAACAAGCCTAAAACCCTAAACCCCAAACTCTAAAAATTCCTAAACCCCTAAAACCCTTACTAAACCCTAAACAAGGCCAGGTGCTCTTTGAGTCCCGCAGCTTCTCCGTGATCACCTCTAGTTCATTGTTGAGATAGGATTAAAAATGTACATTTTTATTCCTTATTGGGTTTAAGTACCCATAAAATGTAAAATGTTACCCAACAGTGCCAAAGACCTCCGTCCTCGAGGCCTCGAGGAGGGACCTGGCAATCGGGGCGAAGCTTCGGGGCGAAGTTTTCGGGGTTTAGGCTTTGAGGCTCTTTAAATAAGGCTCTCGAGGGTTTAGGGCTTAAGGGGTTGAGGATTTGAGGTTTAGGGTTTAGGTGGGTTTAGGCACAATTTTCGGTGTTAGGCTCTGTTTTTGACTTTTTTGAATGGCCCTTGTCCGTCTGCGCGAAGTCAAAGCCACGGCTGGCGAAAGTGAGGCTTTCAGGTTTGGGGCTTAGGGCTTATATTGTCGAGTTTCGAAGGGTCAGCGGTCGGGGTTGAAGGAGTTTAAGATTTAGAGGGTCTGGGTCTTAGGTTGAAGAAGCCCGAAGCCCTAAATCCAGAACCCTCCACCTCGTAAACCCCATATCACGCCTTAAAACCAGAAGCCCCAAACCCAACCCTCACCCTCATACACCTCATACAAAGACTTCAAAAACCAGTAGCCCTTAAACACCCACCCCCAGGCGAGACCTCTTGAAGAGGGCAGCCGCGGTCTTGTCTGATGCACTCTTCAAGCGCTTTTGCAGCTTGGGCGTGAAGATTCCTGAAAGCCAACAGCTTCCAAAATTCCTTCATTCATTAAGGAGTATAATAGCTTAAATGACAATAGGATCCCGAATAATTATTTAAGGCCTTAATTAAGGGATTTTGGATGATTTTGCAAGCTTTGGGAAGGCTTGCGGCAATCACATAAGGCATCAGGGCTTCTAGGGTTTGGACTTTTTTGCAGACCTTGACCTGGAATCACTCCATCCTAGCAACGATAAATCCTTTTACAGTCCTTTTAAGACGGTGAAGGCACCCTCATTCAGGAACTACCCATGTGATACACAAGAAGGCCTATGCTCCTGCACTGAAGACTCTACGGACAGACAAGCCGGAAGCCAACCACCTTGGCCTCAAAGTGGGCTCTATATAGATACCTTGGGGCCTAAGTATATACTATTTGGGTACATGGACCCTTAGAGTAAGAACACTATGAACGTTGAGTTCAACACAACTGTAAGCCAAGGATCCGAATATGAACAATGACCAGATGCTCTTCCAAATACGAAGCTACAAAACATTCCGCGATTGGGTGCCTGGTTTTGTTGCTTATAAGGCTTTTGAACCCAAGTAGGCCCAGTACTTCCAAGTGGCCCCAGTCTTATCTCGTGTTGTGGTTCAGATGCTTGCAAGAGACCCCAATGTTGACCCCAACAAGTGTCCTTACAGTGTTCTGTGGGCTGTCATAAGGGTTGTCAGGATTATGTCAAGGTTTTCAGTGCTTTTCACAAGGTTCCGTAAGGCTTTATACGACCTTGTAGACGGTCCTTCCATGGTTTTATGGCTTATACGGAAATACTTGAATCACGATTACGATTACTCTATCAGGGCAACTACTCTAGTATGTACCTGTATACAGCCCTCATCCTTAATTCTGAACCCTAGACCCTAAACCGTGCCTTAACCTTATACAATTAAACAGGGTTGGGTCCATTCAGGTCAGCTTCGGTTTAGCTGCTGCTCGGCACTCGATCTTGCAGCTGCGGGTTTCGCCGCGACCTCCTGGAAGACCAGGTCAGCGACGCATGTTTAAGGCTCAAGCGTTTATGCAGGGTTGCAGGGGTTACCCTGAGGCTCCATTGTAGTTCCTTTTTAGGACTACCTGATAAAATTTCTAGAAATGAACCTCCAAAAAGGAACTACCATGGAGCCTAGGGGTACAGGGATCGACTAGGGATGTTGAGGGTTGATTACCGGGTGCAAGGGGCCAAGGCTGAAGTGTCGGGGTCAAGGATTAAGTGCCCACAGGCCCCATAGTAGTTCCGTTTAGGGGTTCATATGTAGAATCCTATAAGATAATCCCAAAAAGGAACTACTATGGGGCCTATGCCCAAAGGCTCCATGTACCTTTATAGTAGTTACTTAAGCCTGAAAGGGGTCCCGATATAGGCACTTTAAGGCCTAAGTATCTACTAGATGGGTACATGGAGCCTCTGGGATAGGGTCCAGGACAGTTTACGGTTTAAGGGCTCGGACTGGTTTGGGAGTTACGGATTGCAGCTTTCAGAGTTCATAGCTTTAAGGCGCACCCTAGCTTATAAGGTAGAAGTAGGGACATAAGTCCCCTAATATGGGTTATAAGTATAGTTATCCTACTTGTTTAAGCTTTGTTGCACATAGGAATTCTGTACGAAGACAACCCATGGAGGTCAAATAGGATAAACCCGCATACGTACAAGAAGGTCTGAAGCTTCAGGGCGCAACCTGGCGCTGCTCTACACATCCTCGATCAACCTGATTGAAGCACCCAAGCCCTATTTCATGAACGAATCCTGTCGACCCTAAACACGGCACTCTCAACCTCAAGCTCGATACACCCTCAACCCTATATACCCTATATACCCTATATAATATACCTTATATACCCTATATACCTTATATACCCTCTATAGCCTACCCCTTAACCCCTGGATACCCCGGGGCGACACCTCATCGCCGGCTCCAGGCTTTGCGTCGCGGACTTCTTTGGCAACGACCCGGGCTGTATGGATGATGGAAGACTGAAGCCTTGCAGCAGTTTAGGGTTTCAGGGTTTTTTTTTTTGTTTTTTGTTTTCTTTTTTTTTCTTTTCCGGGTTTTAGGGTTTAGGGGTTTAGGGGCCCGAATGGGCATGGATGATGGAAGACTGGAGCCTGGCTGTAGGCAAACCCTATTCTGACTATTAAGGCCCCCTATTTTACAGTACCCTTATAGATCCCTTATAGTAGCCCCCTTAGAGACCCTTTTAAAGGAACCCTATTCTGATTATGAAGGCCCCTATATACATTGCACTACCAAGGGTTGATGATATAAATCCTGCATCACCCATAAGAAGGAATATACCATAATTCCCATAGTTTAGGGTCCTTAAGGTAATGCAGGATTTATATCATCAACAGTTTGGTTCTACTGCCTAATGTTTCCATTGTTGGGTACTCTGGGGCAGGTCTTCGGGGAGCGAAGATCTGCGGGTCTCAAATGGGTCTGGGGTTTGAGATTCCTGGTGCTGTTATGGGGGGTACTTTCCAAAAATTATCATGGATATTCCTAACATGTAGCTGCTTAGGACCCTGTGGGATCCTTTTGAGGGCCCTTTGGCTTGGTCTAGGCTTGAAAAGTCTGAGGACACTCGTACTTGTCTTGCTTCCTTGGCTTGGGGGCTTTCGGGGCTACCGGTTTCTCAGGCTTTCAAGGGAGGGGGGCTTAAGGTTTTATCAGGGTTTCAGGAGTTCAAACTTTTGCTTGTGAAAAGCTTGGGCAGCTAATCGTCCGAGCTCCAGGGTGGAACTTTCGTGCCAACGGATCCAACATAACTGAACAAAAGAATCTGTAGGCTCTATGACTCCATGAGTATGCAATCGTAATAGGGATCCATACTAGGCCCTATGGGTTCAAGTACTTGCAATGATCAATATTCTCGCCAATGCTGGCCTCTCGGACCCAAGTAGCTAATTATTGAGTCC